CGGCAAGTACGGTGCAAGCCGGCAAGTACGGTGCAAGCCGGCAAGTACGGTGCAAGCCGGCAAGTACGGTGCAAGCCGGCAAATACGGTGCAAGCCGGCAAATACGGTGCAAGCCGGCAAATACGGTGCAAGCCGGCAAATACGGTGCAAGCCGGCAAATACGGTGCAAGCCGGCAAATACGGTGCAAGCCGGCAAATACGGTGCAAGCCGGCAAATACGGTGCAAGCCGACAAATACGGTGCAAGCCGACAAATACGGTGCAAGCCGGCAAATACGGTGCAAGCCGGCAAATACGGTGCAAGCCGGCAAATACGGTGCAAGCCGGCAAATACGGTGCAAGCCGGCAAATACGGTGCAAGCCGGCAAATACGGTGCAAGCCGGCAAATACGGTGCAAGCCGGCAAATACGGTGCAAGCCGGCAAATACGGTGCAAGCCGGCAAATACGGTGCAAGCCGGCAAATACGGTGCAAGCCGGCAAATACGGTGCAAGCCGGCAAATACGGTGCAAGCCGGCAAATACGGTGCAAGCCGGCAAATACGGTGCAAGCCGGCAAATACGGTGCAAGCCGGCAAATACGGTGCAAGCCGGCAAATACGGTGCAAGCCGGCAAATACGGTGCAAGCCGGCAAATACGGTGCAAGCCGGCAAATACGGTGCAAGCCGGCAAATACGGTGCAAGCCGGCAAATACGGTGCAAGCCGGCAAATACGGTGCAAGCCGGCAAGCCGGCAAATACCGTGCAAGCCGGCAAATGCGGTGAAAGCCGGCAAATACGGTGAAAGCCGGCAAGCCGGCAAATACGGTGCAAGCCGGCAAGCCGGCAAATACGGTGCAAGCCGGCAAATACGGTGCAAGCCGGCAAATACGGTGCAAGCCGGCAAATACGGTGCAAGCCGGCAAATATGGTGCAAGCCGGCAAATACGGTGCAAGCCGGCATTCTGGATCGCCTGTGATCACTTGCTGCTCCTCAGAGTGCAGTCAATGCAGTCAACGCAGTCAATGCAGTCATCTCCCCTCTGCCTCCCCCCCCTCTCACGCGCTTCCCCTCTCATCCTCCACCCGTCACCAGAGCTGGGCGCAAGCCGGCCTTATGGATCGCCTGCGCTCATTGGCTGCTCGTCGCAACCTGCAGGACCTCACCATTGGTCCCGTGCTCACGGTGAGTGCTTGTAACGCAAGGAGCATAGTGTTCTTAGACTGAGTGCTTGTAACGCAAGGAGCATAGTGTTCTTAGACTGAGTGCTTGTAACGCAATGAGCATAGTGTTCTTAGACTGAGTGCTTGTAACGCAAGGAGCATAGTGTTCTTAGACTGAGTGCTTGTAACGCAAGGAGCATAGTGTTCTTAGACTGAGTGCTTGTAACGCACCAAGACATGGTGTGTTTTGAGTCAGTTCAAAAGACACCAGGTTCATTGGCTGCTCGTCGCAACCTGCAGGATCTCACCATTGGTCCCGTGCTCACGGTGGGTGTTGCAATGAGAGAGAGTGTTTAGTGTTTTTAAACCGATTCAGAAAACACCTGGATCAACGGCTGCTTGATTTGGGGCATCTCAAAACTTCATCGGCTGCTCGTCGCAACCTGCAGGATCTCACCATTGGTCCTGTGCTCACGGTGAGTGCTGGTGATGCAACTAGACACACATCTCCTCATGCTAGGAGGTGAAGCACATCATCTCCTCATGCTAGGAGGTGAAGCACATCATCTCCTCATGCTAAGTTGCCTCATGAGGCTCGTGGCTGTATTTGGAATCACAGGAAGCCAACTTTCCTTCCTTTCTCTCTTCCTTCCTCTCTCCCCTGCCTCCCTTCCTCACAAACCCCACTCCACTCCACACCACCCCACCCGACCCCACCCCACTCCACCAGGTGACAACAGAGGCCTTTCTATCCCACGTGAAGGCCCTCCTCTCCATTCCCGGGGCTCGTCTGGAGTTTGGAGGGAAGGAGCTGCAGGGGGGCAAGCACAGCATCCCCGCGTGCTATGGAGCTGTGGAGCCGACTGCTGTGTTCGTGCCGCTTAAAGCCATGCTTGCGAGCCGGGAGAACTTTGAAATCGCCACCAAGGAGGTGTTTGGACCCATTCAGGTGCGTCGTGTCGTGTAATTGCATTTGAATGGATATGGACTGTTGAAAACCCGGAACCAATTCGGATATGTTTTAGAAGTTTTGGTTTCCAAAGGAAGAGCGTCGCCCACACGTTTTTGCGGGGCGTTTTTTAGAGGAGTTTTTGTAGGGTGTTTTTGAGAATTCTCAAAAACACCCTGTTTAGAGAGGTGTTGTTGTGGTTACCAAAAGAAGGGCGTCGCCCATGTGTTTCACACTCCCCGTCAACCTGTTTTTTGTCCTTCTTCCTCCGTCCGCCTTGTATGCCCTACAAAGTGACTTCTGAGTTGGCTCAAAAGTCACCTCGACACCTTTCCTGCGCCCCTCCCCTCCATCCACAGGTGGTGACAGAATATGATGACAGCGAAGCGAAATTGATGTGGTGGGAAGGAACAGGAGGGCAAGCAGCACTGCATTATCATGTGTTTCACACTCCCCCTCTTACGTGCTGCCCTCTTTCCATCCGCAGGTGGTGACAGGGTATGACGACTGTGACATTGCCTTGGTGCTGGAGGGACCAGGAGGGCAGGCAGCTCCACAAATATGTACACTGCCCCTCCATGTGCAGTTGGTGACAGAGTATGACGACAGCGAGCTTGACTTGGTGGGCAGGCAGCACAACAGCAACAGGTGCTTCACGCTCCTTATCAGCACCGCATCCCTGCTGCTCTCATGCCCCCCTTCCCCCCTTCCATCCCCAGGTGGTGACAGAGTATGACGACAGCGAGCTTGACCTGGTGCTGGAGGCCAATGAGAGGATGACAGCTCATCTCACCGCTGCGGTCGTCTCCAACGACCCTCTCTTCCTGCAGGTGTGAAAACAAAGCGATATGGAAATGAAGTGTTGTGAAATGAAAACCAACTGGTGTGAAAAGCACCAGACGTACCAGTGCTTGCTCCTTTCCCCGCCCCCCCCCCCCCCCCCCCCTTTTTTTAAAATCAACCGTGTGTTACGAGCTGTATGAATTAACCATGTCTCCTTTCCTTCCATTGCTCTATGTCCACGTCAGCACGTGCTGGCAAACACAGTCAACGGGACCACGTACGTTGGACTGAGGGCGAGAACCACAGGGGCACCACAGAACCACTGGTAAGGAATATATAACACATACATATATCACACATACATATAACACATGTATAACACAACCCTGGAGAGTACATATATTGCACATCATAAAAGCACATCGTGCATTGTATGCTACAAATGAGTTGCAACAGTGCTCCCTTCCAGGATGGGTCTGTCTGTGGTGTGTGATGGATGATTTGTTATGGATGTTGACGGGTAGGCCTGTTTTGAGACGTCTCAAAACGTGCTCCCTTCCAGGATGGGTCTGTCTGTGGCATGTGATGGATTGTTTGTTATGGATGCTGATGGATAGGCCAACAATGCTGATATGGGTCATACAATGTACAATTCATACTCGTTTTCTGTATCCTTTTTTGCGCCTCTTTTTCAGGTTTGGACCTGCCAACGATCCCCGAGGGGCAGGCATTGGAACTCCGGAAGCAATTCGCTTGGTGTGGTCGTGCCATCGAGAGATCATCTCAGACTATGGTCCAGTTCCTTCTGGATGGACCCTCCCTGCATCCACCTAGTGTACCATGTCAAATGGATCCAAGTTGACTTCTGAGTTGAGTCGGTTGGTGTGGTCGTGCCATCGGGAGATCATCTCCGACTACGGTCCAGTTCCTTCTGGATGGTCCCTTCCTGCGTCAACCTAGGGTATCTCTCAACTCAACTGGTTCCCTGCTCAGACATACAGTACAGTACACACTGGGCTGACCTATAGATCAAGCATTCCCTTGTACCGGTAGGCTACCATTTTAGAGCACGGTAAGAAGTAATAATTAGGTGCCTCATAGCAACATGGAAAGTTGTTATGAACGCAATTGGAGGTGAGAAAACGAAGATTGCACCAAGGGGTCGGTCAGAGCAATAACAAGTGCAAGAGAATGCATGAGCGAACAATACATGTAGTGAAAGATGCAAACAGTAACACACAGGGGCGAGCAAGGCTATACCATGCTGGCAGCGAGGTTTGGGCCATTTCCAAGCGTAGGCCGAGTCCCCAATTGGTCAGCCCAGCCCAGCGACTAGTCCATACAACTACGGTAATGGTCAACTAATGGTCAAGTTAACAGCTGGTCAATACACAGGCATCACCCGTCCCGATCTGCCCCTCCCACGCCCTCTCCCCCTCCCCCTGCCCCTGCCCCTCCCCCTCCCTCTCCCCCTCACCTCCACCACATCCTCCTCTTCTCCCCCCATTTCCCCCCCACCCATCCCCATTCCCCCACCCCCCTCCTCATCCTCCCCATCCAACGGCTGAGATAGCGCGCCGGAGATCCTCGTCATCAGATCGCCCAATCGACGGCTGGATCCTGCTCCCCTCGCCTCCTCCCCTTCCTCTTCCTCCTCCCCCCCTCCCACCATATCCTCCTCCACCTCATCCTCCTCCCCCTCCCCTCCTACCGCATCCCTTGGGATCCTCGGTGCCGCCCGGCCTGCACCAGTTTTGTCTGCACCTGGGAAAGGGTCACCTGAGCCAGGTGCAGACTGGCCTACAGAGTACATGCGAAGAATTTCTTCGGCAGGGGAGGTGTGGGGTTGAGACCTCTTACCCTGTGCACCACCCATACCACCACCAGCAGCACCAGCACGAGAGCCAGAGCTGTAAAAACTGCTGCTACCCATCCCAACCGCACCAGACCCTATCCCACCCCCCATCACACCCCCATAAAACTGATCCTGCTGCTGCCTCTTCCATCCTGCTCCACCCCCCCACCCGCCCCGCCCCATCCCACCACCCGCACCTCCTCTCCCCTCCTCCTCATACCCCTCCCCAAACCCCTCCTCATCCTCAAAATCCTCGTCCTCATCTTCAAAATCATATCTCCCTCTCTTGAACCCAGCACCACCACTCCCAACCGCTCCACCCTTCTTCTCTCCCTCCCCCGGCGCCTGCAAATCCACCCCCTCCCGGGTTAAAACCCGGCATGCCCCGCCGGTTTGGGGCTAGATGCCCTGTAGCAGCCATAGGGGAAGGGTACAAACCCCACCGATCTAAACCATATCCCCCACCGCTACCCATAACACTCGCACCCATCACATTCGATCCCATCACATTCGCCCCCATGACATTCCCCCCCATGACCCCAACCCCCATGTACCCCCCCATGCCCATCACCCCGCCCCCACCACCCACCATCCCCCCTCCCATATACCCATACCCCCCACTCCCCATCCCTCCACTCCCATACCTCCCACCGCCAGCTGCACCACCTCCACGCCCCTTCCTCCCAGCAGCAGCACTCTGAGACACCTTCTGAGAGCTAATCGCTCCCCCACCCAGCGCAGCAGCCGTCCCTGCCTGAGGCCCCTCTTCTCCCTCCCTCGACCCCACTGGCCCTCCACCACCCCCTCCTACAAGTCCCCGCGCTCCCACAGGTGACGGAGCCCTCGCTCTCTTCGACTTATGGCCCAACTTGTCGATATTATCGAGAAAATACTTCGCCCGTTCCTTCCAGTTGCAGGACTCGTCTCGAGACCGTCGCGACTGCAGCAACCGGTCTAAAGCATCGTCGTCTAGCGACCGGAAAAACCTCTCGTTGGTGAGAGCTTCTGGACCGTCGCGATCGATCAGAGCGCGATCGTACGCTGCTGCTGCGTCCTCTTCCGTGGTGTATAATCCAATCTTCCTCACCTTTCCATGGTCTAGTTTGATTAGCGCCGCCCACCGCTGCTTGTCCGGCATCCAGCTCACGCCCTTGAATAAGGATGAGCCACGCCGCCCCTGGAAGACACTGCTGACATTGGTGCGGCGCACGTGGGTTAAAAATTCCTCGACTGTCATTGAGTCGAGACGTGCCTTGTCCTCCTCTCCAAGAGGGTAGTTGGTGGGGGCTGTGGGTCCCTTGAGTCGATACGCCACCCTGCGGAATGGGAATGGGAAGCAAGCAGAAATTGGAAAAGAATGTCAGGCGTGTGAATATCCCGCAACTGTTATTGAGTCGAGACGTGCCTTGTCGTCCTCCCCAAGAGGGTAGTTGGTGGGGGCTGTTGGTCCTTTCAGTCGATACGCAACCCTGCAGGGCACCATTTGAAAAAAGCGAAGCAACCAGAAAAAAATGTCAGGCCCGTTGAGTTTGCTTTTGAGGATTCTCAAAAGGAAACAAAAAAATGTCAGGCCTGTAAAGCTGTCTCGACTGTCATCGAGTCAAGATGGGCCTTGTCCTCCTCTGCCGAATGGTAGTTGGTGGTGGGGGCTGTCGGCCCCTTGAGTCAATACACTTGAAACGCCTCCCACCTTGAGTGGGGGCAAACGAAAAGAGACATCCTATGGAAACTGCTGCCCGTAGTTATATGACTCAATAGCCACCTCGTATTGATAAACACCCACCCTGCAACATCAGGAAAAGCAGCAAATAACCTACTTGTCATGAAGCCGTGCTGCCTCCTCCTCCGTATACCGCTGCCCGTAGTTATACCGCCGCTGCCCCGACATTAGAAACGCCTCCCACGCCCTCGTCCGCCCCTTGAACTCCACGCCCATATACTTCTCCGATAACCGATTCTTCTCCTCCTCCGGATGCTCATGTATCCTCGGCCGCCCCCGCGGCCGCTTCCCCGAGTAGGTCTGTAATCCAGAGGAATCCGGGCCACCGAAGGACGAGGTAGGGGCGGCTAGAGTGGAAACGGTGCTGATTTGGAGGGCGGAGGGGGCGGAACCTGGGGTGAGCGGGAAGTGGGAGGGGCCTTCAGCAGGAGTTATTGCACCTGCATCCCCCTCCTGCCCCGGTCCCTTGGCTGGAGTCTTAGACCCCTCCCCTCCCCCTTCTCCTCCTCTCCCTTCTCCACCTTCCGTTTTGTCTTCATCCCCTTCTACTGTGTCCATCCAATCCCGCCCATGCGCGTCCCCCCCACCCTCCCCCCTGCCTCCATTCCCCCCGCCCTCCCCCACCTCATTCCCCTCGTCATCCTCATTCAGCTCCAGCATCACATCATCCCCTTCCTCCTCTCCCTCTCCCTCTCCCTCCCCCTCTCCCACGCCTCCTGCGCCACCCCCCGCAGCCCCCGCCCCGCCCCCAGGCCCAGCCTCCGCAGCAGCCAGAAGCTGTTCCACAGACGCATGCGCGTTCCCCAGCTCATCTGCCCCAACTTCCCCGCCCTTCCCTCCCGTGCCCTTCTTCCCCGCCCCGCCGCTCCCACCCGCGCCAGTTCCGTCCCCCCCATCTTCCGCCCCGCCTGCGCCTGCTCCCCCCACCACCTCCCTCGCCGTAGTCTCACAAAACTCCTCCCAGTCCCCGTCAGCATCCCCCCCGCCCTCTCCCCCACCAGCAGCGTCATCCCCATCGTCTAACCCAGCCATTTCCAAGTCAATCGCTAGCGACCCTTCCTCCTCGCCCTCCCCTTTCTCCTTGCCACCGCCTTCCCCCGCGCCACCAGCACCACCACCACCAGCGCCACCAGCGGCAGCAGCACCAGCAGGAACAAGTGTGCTCAACCCTTTCTCCTCACCCCCAGGAGCAACCCCTTCCATCCACCCCACGATGTCCCCTTGCTCCCACTCATTCGCCATCCATTCCTCAATCTGTTCCAACTCCTCTGCTCTGGGCGCCGGCACCCACTCCTCCTTTCCCTCCTCCTTACTCCCTCCGCTAGACCCATCCCCAGCTCCTCCTCCCTCTCCTCCTTGTTCTCCCTCTCCTCCTCCCCCTTCCCCTTCTGCTGCGCCTGCCCCTAACTCTGCAGCACCACCTGCGCCATCACCAGCAGCACCAGCACCATCACCACTGGATATCCCCAGCTTAGCTGCCTCAACAGAACCACCCAGCGACGCCACTAGCCTGTTCCTCCTCTCCTCCCGCGCCAGATGGGTGATCGGCGGACGACCCCTCCCCCGCCCGCGCCCGCGCCCCCCTCTCCCTCCCCCTCTCCCCCCATCCCCGCCAACCCCCCCTCCCGCCGCGCGGATAAACGCTTCCTCCTGCCCCTTTATAGGGATCTCCGTTACTGTCACCTGTGCGTGGTTCAACCCGTCCACAAACTTCGCATTAGTCATCACATGTACCCCGCGGACCTCCACAATCGTCCGATCGTACGCAGCAGCCGCCTCCTCTTCCGCATCATACATCCCAATCTTAGAGAACCGGTTTCCCACGCGGATTGCGGCGATCCATTTCTGCTCCTGCGGGCCCCACTTGACGCCCTTGTAGATCGACGGACAGGATCGCGAGCGGAAGCTGCGGACGAAGGATTTCCGCAGGTGCAGGTGGAAATCGTCCTTGGTCATCTGTTCTAGCTCGAGCTTTTCAGCGGCGGACAAGCCGAAGTTGAGCACAGCTGACGTGCCTCGGAACTTGTAGGCCATCCTGCCATTGGAGAGAAAATGGGAGGGGGGGGGGGGGAAGTGAGGTGCACGTGGAAGTCGTCCTTGGTCATCTGCTCTAGCTCGAGCATCTCAGCGGCGGACAAGCCAAAGTTGAGCACCGCTGACGTGCCTCGGAACTTGTAGGCCATCCTGACGTCACAACATGGAGAACGGGAGGGAAAGAGCATGGAACGCGAGAAGTTTTGGCAGGGAGACGGAGCGGGGGGCCACGCAGGAAGACGGAAGGACGACGAGAGGAAGACGGAAAAGGAAGAGTGAGAGAGGGGATAGAGCAAAACGTGCAAGCAAAGTCCGCCTTGATCCTTGGCTTCAGTTCGAGCTTGGCCACGCAAGGGCTCCCTCGTCCCCGAAGGAGTGACTTGCGGCCGAATATAGAGAGAACCATCTCCCACGCGCCCTTGTCCTTCCTTGCCTCACAACGCTCCACTGTCTGTGTTTTGAGTCGACTCAAAAGTCACCTCGAATATAGAGAGTACCATCTCCCACGCGCCCTTGTCCTTCCTTGTCTCACAACGCTCCACTGTCTGTGACTCGACTGAAAGCGCACCTGTCGTAGAGGCGTGCGGCCTCGTCTCCTAGCTGTGTCCGTCCCCTAAGAAACGGCTTAGGCCCGATATAGAGCACCATCTCCCACACGCCCTTGTCCTTGTTGTGCATCACTCCCCAGCGTAGCTTGCCCGCCCACCCCGCCACCAAATCACTGCCTGAACGCGGAGAGCAGAAAAAAAAAGGAACAAGACACGGGCAGCATTGAGTCTTTATTACATAAGTAGCACACACGAACACACACACAAAAAGAGGGGACGCTAGCAACTTATACCATCGGGATAAGGATCTAGATGAACGGATGGTACCAGAACGGATAGAACGCCCAAGGAAAGAAGAACGTTATAGATTGTTTGAAACAATTATGAGGTTGTTACCTGGAGGCAACTGGGTTGCGGGGACGATGGAAACCGACTTGGCGGATGCTCCACCTGGGAAGGACAGAGAAAGACAGGTGGAAATAAGTGAGAGTACCTAACAGGTTAACCATTACACTTGTGATTCGTTATCACTAACGAAAGGAAAGGGAAGAAAAGGGCTGCGAAGGAAAATGATTACGGGGTGAAGTGGGAAGGGGGGGGGGGGGGGGGGGGGGGAGGGGGAAGAGGGGGGAAAAGAGATACTGCGATAACGGGACCAGATGGGGGAGAGGGAGGGTTGGCGGGAAAGGAGAAGTCAAACAAACTAGACAACAAGCCACAGCAGCTTCGTCGCACCTTCCATCTCAGCGACTCGCGACAGGATCACCGCGTCGCGCAGCCCCTCGAGGTCCATGAGCGTCTCGACTTTAATACACCCGCCGAAGATCATCGCGTTCGTGATCGCACGGTCGCCGTCCCGTCGCAGCAGCGCGCGATCGACGGCCGCCGCGGCCACCTCCTCCGTCTTGCTGCGCTTGATCTTCCGCGTGACCCCGCCCATATTCACCTGCGCGACCCATCCGCCATAGTCTTCATACCAACTCACGCCGATGTAATTCGAGCTCCATCCTTTCCGGAAGCTTAGATTGAAGTTGTCCTTTTTTATGATGGCGAGGAACTCGCGGTCGGAAAGAGCGTCGAGGGCGCGTTTCTCGGCGAGCGTGAGACCGAGATTGAGCGTTTCGGCGTTGCCGTGGACCTTGTAGGCGAACCTGACGGGGACGAAAACGAACAAAAAAGAAGGGAAAAAGGGAATAAAAAGGAAAACGGAGGAGAAGCAAGAGGTGAATGTGAGGGCCGACACTGGATAACGCGTGCGAGCTCCGGAAACTGGCCGTCGTCGTCGCAAACAAGTGATTGGTAGTAAAAATATTAACACGAAAAGCTGCGTAATCTCGTACTAGTGACAACGCACTTGTCATAGAGAGACGCCGCCTCCTCTTGCGTCGGACGAACGCCCAGCACGACGGTCTTGCCGCGCGACGCGTACTTGACGAGCCAGCCGCGGACATGCTTCTGCACTCCCTTGTACTTGAGGCTCTGGTCGTCGCGGTCGAATAGCCTCTCGCGCGTGCCTTGCCGGCTGAAGGAGAAACATACGAATAATTAATCATAATCAAAATAAAACATGATTTAAAACCGCGAAAAACTGCACTGGTCTATGCCAGCAGGATGATGGAAAGGTGTGGGAATTTCTAGCGAGGCAAATCACCTCCCACCGAGCTTGGGCAATGGCTCCTCAGGAAGGCTCCACCCATATGCTCCCCCTCGCATCATATTTGGGTGAGCTCACTGGCAGAATCCAGGGTAGAATACAACAAGGTAATTTGGAAGTAGGCTAACTTGTGCTCATGGGGGGTATTGGGAATTGGGGAATTGCCGAGAGAAGCAAGTTATGGAGGGATGTTTGAAGAAAGGGGAGCTGGACGAGAGAAACCCTAGGAGAGAGGGTCTGTTGTGCAGCAGGTAGAGAGTAGAGACCAAGTGCCCCGGGACAGGACCTCGACTGGCTGGTGATTTGCCCTTTCGGGGATTTCATTCCGGTCAGCGGTTTAGGGTTGGAACCGGGTGTGGAAGAAAGAAGAATACCTGAATTGGTTAGATAAATATCGCTGTATCAGTCACAAAGAAATTTATTTAGGGGACAGCGAGAAGGTGAGGTTGGTGCGCAGTCCTCGAAACCCTCAAAGGAAACGGCTCTCACGGCAGGTCACACGAGAGTTCGCAGTTCATGTGCGAAACCGCTCTAAGTTGCACAACATCGTAATTGACCGCTTTACTTCACAGAAATGAGCTCGTCATGCATGTCTGGAGGGCAACGGAGGAAGTAAGGACAGAAAAGCCAGTGCGGGCAATTTGTCACCCCAAGGAATAACCGTTTTTGTACAAATGACCAATCACGAAGCCATCATGTTGTGGTAACTCTCCTTGCACGGGCACACAAAACTTCTCTAGCCATGAGTTTGTTCCCTTTCTTGCTGGCTGCTTTTGAGGGTTTGATGGGCGGGGAATGTAGGAACCCGACCCTGGGGGATTGGAAGTCCCCCAAAGTTGCGCCCAGGGGATAAGTTGGCCCGCTTGGGGCAATTCCAGTTTCCGCCACACAACCCCAGCTTCGGTTTCAAGTGATAACCTCCTTGAGCCAGCGGGAGATGCGGAGCAAACCCTCGATCCCAGACAAGTTACTTCAACCAATCACCGATCAGGCAGATAAAGAAAATGTGAAATACACTACTGCTGTGCAGATAACTTTGTAAATAAGGATCAGTAACGAAAAACCGAAGTACTGAATTATGACTACATAAAAGGCATTCACATGAATGTACATATCCGGTTCCTACGAAAATCCATCTACAAGAGTACAAGGCCAACCAACTGACCGTCCACACTCCCCACCATGCAGCCTCAAGGCTGCCTTGCTGGGAAATTATCAACAAAGATACACATGCAACACGACAGGCCACCATTTCAAGCCTCCACACCATCCGCCCTATATGCAGGAAAAACCCATCCACATCCCATACTCGCACCACATCAACCTATTAGACACAATGCACATGTACCATACAGCATTTAATCACAGCAGTCAATCCATCCAATACCAAAAAAAACTGCCCGAGGCTCAACCAACCACAGACGAGTTCATCAAGCCGCCAGCCTGTCCTGCTGCCCCTCCTGCACTAGAAGCCGAGCCGCCCGACCGCGAACCCATCCCTGCAACATTCCCTGCACCAGTAAAACCTCCCCCAGCTGGTCCTGAGTAGGAGGGTGCCATCACCCGCTCTCTCTCCGCCCGAGACTGCATACGGCCTGAGGGGAGGGAGTGGTGGAGGGAATGGGGTAGAAAACGTGGGACACAGAAGCAGGATCTTGAGAATTCTCAAGAGCAGCGTACGAGATTGCAAGCACCCGCTCTTTCTCCACCCTAGATTACCTGCGGCCTGAGGGGAGGGAATGGGAAGGGAGACTGGAAGGAGAGGGAAGGGAGTGGGGAGGTAGTGTCACGTGGTTTGCATGGGTGGTACGTGTCAATTGGGTGGCATGGGTGGCATGGGTGGCATGGGTCACATGGGTGGCATGGGTCACATGGGTGGCATGGGTCACGTGGGTGGCATGGGTCACATGGGTGGCATGGGTCACATGGGTGGCATGGGTCACATGGGTGGCATGGGTCACGTGGGTGGCATGGGTCACATGGGTGGCATGGGTCACATGGGTGGCATGGGTCACATGGGTGGCATGGGTCACATGGGTGGCATGGGTCACATGGGTGGCATGGGTCACATGGGTGGCATGGGTCACATGGGTGGCATGGGTCACATGGGTGGCATGGGTCACATGGGTGGCATGGGTCACATGGGTGGCATGCAGACGCACTCTTACATGCTAGTAGACACAGACTCACCCTTAGCGACCAGCAGTTTCTCAAACCGAGCAACAATGCGTTTCCCACACGTGAACTTCGTAAGAGTGCAGATGCACGCGAATGCACTCTTACATCCTATCCTGGTGATCTTAGACTCACCTCCAGCGGCTAGCAGATTCTACATGCGGGCAACGATGTGCTTCCCATAGGTGAACTTCTTGAGTGTGTGCAGATGCACGCGATTGCACACCGACATGCACATGCTCACTTATGTGCCACTTAAAACAGCTTGACCTCCTGCAGCAAGCAGGTTCTCCATCGGCAGGTGGCAAGTACAAACATCAACTTCAAGAGCAGCAGGTCACACAGGGTGTTCACTTGTAACATCGAGAGCATGGTGAGAACCAGCGCCTGCTCTCACCGTGCTCCCAATGTTGCCAGGATCAGCACTGCGAAGTCTGCACTCACCGTGCTCTCGATGTTACAAGTGAACACACTGTGTGACAGGCTGCTCTTCAAGTTCATGTTTGTACTTGCCACTCACATCCTATTATAGTGATCTTAGACTCACCTCCAGCGGCCAGCAGTTTCTCCACGCGGGCAACGATGTGCTTCCCGTAGGTGAACTTCTTGAGTGTGTGCAGATGCACGAGGATGCGCCCCAGCACCATCTCCCTCTGCTACTGGTCATAGACTCACCTCCAGCAGCTAGCAGCTTCTCGACCCGTGCGACAATGTGCTTCCCATATGTGAACTTCTTGAGAGTGTGCAGATGCACACGGATGCGCCCCAGCACCATCTCCCTCTGCTGCTCGCTGCACGTCTCTAGAACCTTCTGCACGACGTAGTTACCGAACTGGTCCTTCATCATAGCCTGAATGTAAGGGTGGAGAGGGGTGGAGAGGGGTGGAGAGGGGTGGAGAGAAGTGGAAAAGGTAGAGAGGGTAGGGGCATCCTAATGGGTGAGAGCGCCCCAGCACCATCTCCCTCTGCTGCTCACTGCACGTCTCTAGAACCTTCTGAACGACGTAGTTGCCAAACTGGTCCATCATAGCCTGGAGAAGGGTGGAGAGCGGTGGAGAGGGGTGGAGGGTGGATTGGTGGAGCACAAAAAAATGCCAGGGCATGAGAGAATGCTCCTCGCTTCACGTCTCTAGCACCTTTATAACTGCATAGTTACCGACCTGATCCTTCTATACTAGTGTCCCCTGCTATGCGTCCTTCCCAGCATCTCAGGAAAGAGCAGCTGCTTCTGCTATGGCACGACTCACTCGTGTGGCCCCTACTATGCCCTGATGTGCCCTGATGTGCCCTGATGTGCCCTGATGTGCTCTGATGTGCTCTGATGTGCTCTGATGTGCTCTGATGTGCTCTGATGTGCTCTGATGTGCTCTGATGTGCTCTGATGTGCTCTGATGTGCTCTGATGTGCTCTGATGTGCTCTGATGTGCTCTGATGTGCTCTGATGTGCTCTGATGTGCTCTGATGTGCTCTGATGTGCTCTGATGTGCCCCCCTTACCTGCAGAGGCCCGTTCTCGTCAGTCCTCCCCGTGCTCAGATCGCAGCAGCTGCTTCTGCAAAGGCTCGTTCTCTCTCTTTTTTTTTTTTCTTTGCAGAGGCTCATTCTCTTTTTTTTTTTTTGCAGAGGCTCGTTGTTGTTGTTGTTGTTGTTGTTGTTGTTGTTGTTGTTGTTGTTGTTGTTGTTGTTGTTGTTGTTGTTGTTTTTTTTGTTTTTTTTTTTTGCAGAGGCTCGTTCTCATCAGTCCACCCCAGCATCTCAGATCGCAGCAGCTGTTTCTGCGCCGGCCCGCCGTACAGCAGGCACTTCTCAATCTCGTTGGATGCAAGTACTGTGCCCTTAACCCCTCCCCACATACCTGCAACGGCTCGTTTTCGTCTGTCCTTCCCAGCATCTCAGACAGCAGAAGCTGTTTCTGCGCCGGCCCGCCGTACTGCAGGCACTTCTCAATCACGTTGGACGCGAACTTGTGCTGGCTCATTGTGACTATCTGCCCCGCCAGCTTCGTTATAATCACGTTCCTCTCGTCCTCGCTCCCATGCTCCAACACGTGCTGTTGGGAAGAGGAGTTAGGGGGAGGGTGGAGAAGAAGTTCAGGGGAGAGAGGGAGGAAGAGAAAGGGCAGGGGTGGGGAAGGGAAGAAGGGGAAGATTCACAGAACGACCCCATCTCATACCATAATCCACATTCAATGCTGAGACACTGGGTGATGCAGAGACACTGGGTGATGCAGAGACACTGGGTGATGCAGAGACACTGGGTGATGCTGAGACACTGGGTGATGCAGAGACACTGGGTGATGCTGAGACACTGGGCAGGACAGAAAAGCACTCACACAAAACCAACACCACCCACCTGCACCACGAAGTTGCCATATTGGTCCTGGGCCAGGGCACAGGTAGACCTCATGAACCACATTCAACGTTCAGTTCACTTCACCGCGCTGAACCGTATTCCACAGCCTCACCTGCACCACGTAGTTGCCATATTGGTCCTGGGCCAGGGCACAGGTAGATCTCATGACCCACATTCGATGCCCCATATACGGATCAACAGACAGATAAGCATTTAACACACACGTGCGTGTGTGTGCATATCACCCACCTGCACGACGTAGTTGCCGTACTGGTCCTGGGCCAGGGCACAGGTGGACCGCATGATTTCATCTAGTGCCACATACACACCCAACACAACAAGACATCCACAATAATCCAACACCACCCACCTGCACCACATCATTGCCGTACTGGTCCTGGTCCAGGCCAGGGCATAGGTGGACTGCATATCATAACCCACATTCCATGCTTCAAGCCTAAGTCAACCCTACAGCCCCACCTGCACGACGTAGTTGCCGTACTGGTCCTGGGCCAGAGCACAGGTGGAGCGCATGATTTCGTCCATCACGCCCCTCTGCTTCTGCTCCTCCGTGCAATGCTCTAGCACTCGCTGTGACACAGACAGGGGTTGAAGGGAGGGGAACACAGAGACATGAGCACGTGTGGACGCAAGCACCTACGGACAAAGGCACATGTGAACTTCAGAATCTCGTCCATCACGCCCCTCTGCTTCTGCTCCTCCGTGCAATGCTCTAGCACTCGCTGTTGGGACACAGGGGTTGAGGAACACAACGAGATGAGCACGTGTGGATGGAAGAACCCATGGACACAGGCACAGGTGGACCACATGATTTCATCCATCACGCACAGCGGGCGGGAGGCACACCGGCCTACCTGTAGGAACAAGCACGCTCACTTGAATCACCCGGCATCCACATGGATACGTAGAGAGAGCGACCACTTGGCCATAGAAGCTGTTGACGATGGAGGCGATGTGAGCGGGTGGGGGAAGTAATGCGGGGCAAACTCCCCTCCCCACAGAGTGAATGGAGTAAGTAAGCTGCTCACCTGCAGATTGTTTTTGAGAATTAAGTAAGTAGTAAGTAAGCAGCAGTAAGTAAGCTGCTCACCTGAATGACTCTGCACCCATAGGGATGAGTGGACAAGGCCACGACTTGGCCATAGAAGCTGTTGACAATGGAGGCGATGTGGGCGGGTGGGTACTTCATGACTAACTTCATTAGAGTCGAGTTTTGAGTCGACTCAAAACTCGATGTGGGCGGGTGGACAGTTCATGACTAACTTCATTAGAGTCGAGTTTTGAGTCGACTCAAAACTCGATGTGGGTGGGTGGACAGTTCATGACTAACTTCATTAAAGTCGAGTTTTGAGTCGACTCAAAACTCGATGTGGGTGGGTGGGTGGACACTTCATGACTAACTTCATTAGAGAAGGCCCTGCAGGAGACGAGAGCAGCACGCTCACCTGAATAAGGTGACTTTTGAGTCGACTCAAAAGAGAGCAGCACGCTCACCTGAATAAGGTGACTTTTGAGTCGACTCAAAAGAGAGCAGCACGCTCACCTGAATAAGGTGACTTTTGAGTCGACTCAAAAGAGAGCAGCACGCTCACCTGAATAAGGTGTCTTTTGAGTCGACTCAAAAGAGAGCAGCACGCTCACCTGAATAAGGTGACTTTTGAGTCGACTCAAAAGAGAGCAGCACGCTCACCTGAATAAGGTGACTTTTGAGTCGACTCAAAAGAGAGCAGCACGCTCACCTGAATAAGGTGACTTTTGAGTCGACTCAAAAGAGAGCAGCACGCTCACCTGAATAAGGTGACTTTTGAGTCGACTCAAAAGAGAGCAGCACGCTCACCTGAATAAGGTGACTTTTGAGTCGAGTCGACTCAAAAGAGAGCAGCACGCTCACCTGAATAAGGTGACTTTTGAGTCGAGTCGACTCAAAAGAGAGCAGCACGCTCACCTGAATAAGGTGACTTTTGAGTCGAGTCGACTCAAAAGAGAGCAGCACGCTCACCTGAATAAGGTGACTTTTGAGTCGAGTCGACTCAAAAGAGAGCAGCACGCTCACCTGAATAAGGTGACTTTTGAGTCGAGTCGACTCAAAAGACAGCAGCACGCTCACCTGAATAAGGTGACTTTTGAGTCGAGTCGACTCAAAAGACAGCAGCACGCTCACCTGAATGACTCTGCACCCGTACGGGTGGGTAGACAAGGCCACGACTTGGCCGTAGAAGCTGTTGACGATAGAGGCTATGTGGGCGGGCGGCACACACTCGATGCACTTCTGAATGACGTGGTTGCCGTTCTGGTCCCGCACACACCGCATCACACTGCCTTCCAGCTCTGCTATGATCTCCAGCTGCTGCGGCAGTGGGAGAACCTCCAAGGCCTGACGGTACGGTACAGGGAACAGGGCACGGGGAACAGCAAGGAGGAAGGGGAGAATGACGTGGTTGCCGTTCTTATCGCGCACACACCGCATCACACTGCCCTCCAGCTCTGCTATGATCTCAAGCTGCTGAGGCAGAGGCAGTACCTCCAGCGCCTGTGCGTATGGTATGGGGAGTATGGGGAACAGCAAGAGAGAGAGGGACAGACTGGAGCTGCTGCGGCAGGTGCAGTACCTCCAGTGCCTGTGAGTAATGGGTACGGGGAGGGGAACATGTTTTGAGACGTCTCAAAACACGCTTGCAGTACCTCCAGTGCCTGTGAGTAATGGTACGGGGAGAGGAACATGTTTTGAGACGTCTCAAAACACGCTTGCAGTACCTCCAGTGCCTGTGAGTAATGGTACGGGGAGAGGAACAGCAAGAGAGAGCGGGACAGATTGGATTAGAAACAGAGCTGTGAATGACACAGGTGCCGTTATCGTCCTGCAGACACAACAACACATGCCCCTCCCCCTCCCCCTCCCCCCCTCCCCCTCCTCCTCCCCCTGGCCCTCCCCCTGCCCCTCCCCCCACCCCCCCCCCCCCCCCCCCCTCCTTGCCCCTCCCCCTTCCATTTCTCACCTTCTGAATGACCCGGCAGCCATATATCTGCAGACCCAGCGCCAGCACATGCCCCTTCAGGCTCCCCACTCAGCCCCTTTGCACCGCATTAAACCACATCGCACCATGCCCTTCCAATCCTTCCACTCCTCACCTTCTGAATGACCCGGCAGCCGTACATCTGCAGCCCCAGCGCCAGCACATGCCCCTTCAGGCTCCTCCTCATTCAGCCTCCCTAAGCACCGCACCAAACCGCATCGCACCACCCCTCACCTTCTGAATCACCCGGCAGCCGTACATCTGCAGCCCCAGCGCCAGCACATGCCCCTTCAACTCCGCTGCCAGTGCCGCCCTGTGGGAGTCCAACCCATGCTCGAAAAACTGCAATCAAGGGAGAGGAGGAGACAGCAGAGGCCAAGGGGGGTGGGTGAAAGAGGAACCACACCCAGCGCCAGCACATGGCCCTTCAACCCCACTGCCAGTGCCGCCCTGTGGGAGTCCAACCCATGCTCGAAGAACTGCGATCAAGGGAGAGGGAGAGAGGAGGATGGGAACAGGATAAGCAAGGGTAGTGTGAGTGCTTCCTGTGAAAGTCCAAGCCATGCCCATGCCCTACTGGACCATGCCCTACTGGACCATACCCTACTGGACCATACCCTACTGGACCTTTGGAAAGAGCGCCTGAGGCAGACGGGCAAGCTCGTGCTCTGTAAGGAGCTGTAAGGTAGGATGGGAATGGTCCAGTAGGATGAGGTACCCTCCCCCTGTCCCCTTCCCCTCACCCACACGCGCACACACGCACCTTCTGAATCACGTAATTCCCGAACACGTCCGTCATGAGGGAGAGCGCCCGAGGCAGCACCTCACAGAACACAAGCTCCTTTTCTGCATCCGTGGCCATCTCTAGCTTCTGCTGGATGAACCGACTGCCATGCTGGTCCGCACTGCAAGGGAAGCAGACAGAGAGACGAGAGAAGCGTGGGTTAGGGAAGAAGTTGATGAAGTTCTAGCTGCAAGGGAAGAAGTGCTTTGGTGCTGCAAAAGAGGTTGCTTGTGGCCATCTCAAGCTGCTGGATGAACCGCGACCCGTGCTGGTCCGCGCTGCAAGTGAAGCAGAAGGAGAGGGAGGGAAGGGAAGGAAGTACCTATGAGCAACACTCAACACCATGTGAGAATCCCTCAACACCACTCCGCATCCCTCAACGCACCTGAACTCCACCACGTGCCCTGCAATGTCACACAGCTCATATCGCCGGGTCTTGTTAGCCTTGAATTCCTCCAAGAAACTCCCCGCTCCCCCCCCCCTCCTGCTCCTCCCCCTCCTCCGCCTCCTCCCCCCTCCCCCTCCTCCCCCACCACTGTTACCGCTCCCTCTGTTCCCCCCTCCGCCTCCTCCCCCTCCGCCTCCCCCTCCGCCCATCCTTTCAGTTTCTGCCTGGTGGGATGCATGGTGGTGATGCTGCTGCTGCTGATGCTGCTGTTGATGATGGTGATGGTGATGGTGCTGATGCTGCTGTTGATGCATTGAGTGGCCTCTTCCCCCGCCCCCTCCCCCGGGAGACCCCCTCAGCCCCCCACCTCCCCCTTTCTCCTCCCTCCTCCCGCTCCCCCCTGCCCCTGCTCCCCCGCCTGCTCCCCCCACACCGCTCATTCCGCCCATGGCGTAACCTCCCCCCTTCCCCCCGCCCCCTCCGCCCCCCCCTGCCCCTCCGCCCATCATGCTTCCCCCGCCCCCAACCCCAGCCGGCCCCGTTCCTCCCCCCATCCCCCCCAGCCCTCCTTCAGCCAATAGGATCGATTCGTACAGATTCGCAGGCTGCCCGTGCTGGTGGTGCTGACTCAGCATGCCGCCCTGCTGATGTGGCAACATGCCAGCTGGCACCAATCCTCCTCCGCCCGCCCCTCCCCCGCCACCACCACCAGCAGGAGATAAGGGCGGGTAGGGCATCACAGGGAGGAAGCTTCCTGGAGGGCTTCCATAGTACATCGGAGGGTTGTTATTACCACCGTGCGGAGCGCCAGCTGGCAGGCCGGCGGCGCGAGATCGCGCCACGTCAGCAGGGATTCCCATTGGCTGGCTGCCCCCGGGGAGATAAGCAGAAGGAGCAGAACCCATACCCATACCCATATTCACGCCCATGCCCATGCCCATGCCCATTCCCCCTACTGCTGCTGCAGCAGCAGCAAGCCCACTAGCACTAGTGCCGCCCACACCACCACTGCCGCCACCACTCAGACCCCCCCCCATACCTCCTCCTCCGGTAAACCCTGCACCAGATAAGCCTCCCCCGCCCCCGGACACTCCCAGCCCAGATAAACCTGCGAGAATCTGCGCTCTGTACTGTGGGTGCATGGCTAGTAGCTGCCGCACTTCTGGGGGTAGCATTGCGTCAGAAGCACCCCCCATATTAGCCCCTCCGATATTAGCACCACCACCCATGCCACCACCGCCGCCCAAATTCCCACCGCTGCCACCACCGGTGTTATCGCCACTACCCGTGCCCAGCCCAGCAGTTGTACCTTCCTCAGATGCCACCGCCCCGACCCGCCTCACCCCGCCGCCTGCACTCATCGACCGGCCAACGCCACTGTTCATGCCAGCTGGAGCAGCGGCGGCGGCGAACTGGGCGGCTTCGCTAGGCAGGTAGTGCTGCGCGTTGGCATCTAGTGAAACAGTACCGCCACCACCATCACCACCACCACCACCACCACCACCACCAGCAGCAGCACGGGGCAGTGCCACCACCACCACCACTGCCACTGCCACCACCACCCCCACCCCCCCCTGCTCCTCCTGACAGATAAAACCCGTTCAGAGCCCCTCCAGGTAAACCTCCCCCGGGCAAGCCTCCCCCTGCTCCGCCAGGGGGAAGCGCGTGGGGGAAGCCAGGCGCGCCTGCCCCGCCAGCAAGGTGCAGGGGGAGGAATGGGGAACCGGCGGAACTGGCGGAACCCGGCGGAAGGGGGAGGGATTCGTGTAGGAAGGCTGGGTAAGGGGGGGATCCTACCACGAACGATGCGGCGCCTGCAGCAGCGGCGGCGGCGGCGGCGGCGGAGGTGGGGGGGGTGGTTGCGGAGGAGGGGGGGAGGTAGTGGAGATACGCTGGGTGGAGTGCGGTGGGGAGGTGTGACCAATGAGGGGATGCTTGACCCATGTTCTGCTGTTGCTGCTGCTGATGCTGCTGCAATACGTGCTGCTGCTGATCCTTCTCCTGTTGCTGTTGCTGCTGAAACTGCTGCTGCTGCTGATACTGCTGCTGCTGCTGCTGCTGCATCTGCTGCTGCTGCTGCTGCTGCTGCTGCTGCCCTTCCGCCAAACGCAGCCCTTCAATCGCAGATGCCAGCTCAGCAGCGCTAGCCTGCCCCATCCCCCCCTCCCCCTGCCCGCCCACCATCCCAGGACTAGCCGCCCGCGCAAACACCCCCGCGCCAGCCCCTCCCCTTCCCCCGCCGCCCGCTCCTCCCAACCCTCCATCCCCACCGCCCAAACCCAGACCTACCCCAAAGGCTGGGGACTGCGCCCGAGGCAGACCGGCAGGTTTGGCAGCCGAAGCAGCCTGGGCGGCTGCTAGCTGCATCGCCAGCCCTGGGCTAACCCTCCCCGCGACCAATCCGGGGGGGATAAGTGGAGTTCCGGAGCGCGACCCTGCGCCAAGGAGCGGGGGAACGCTACTCGCGCCCCCTCCGCGCGTGTTCCCCGCGCCCCTTCCCCCCGCTCCCCCCGCGCCTCCGCCAGCCTGTAGCCCCGCGGTGAGAAGCGCGAGCTCGTGCCTGTGCGCGTCGTCAAGCTGCAGAGACGAGCGCGGGCGCCGCGGAAGGTCATTGGCGGAAGCGCTGAGGAAAGACGGCACCGCGGCGGCGGCAGCAGCGGCGGCGGCGGCGGCGGCGGCGGTGGCGGCGGCGGAATCGTCCGCGCCTGAGCGGCTCGCTGCGCGCTGAAGCGCAAAGATGGGGGAGGGCGTGCGGGGGAAGTCCTCCTGGCGGGCGGGGAAGGGGGAAGAGGGACGCGGAAGGTGAGGCGCGGTAGAATAGATCAAGACCTAATCACAATATTTACAGCAGTGGATACGCGTTATTGTCAGGCTACACTACTGGAGAGGCAAACAAGACAGAACCACTCTTTCCGACCCGTAACAGTCAGATCCATCCAACGCTTAGCCCACGCAAAGTTGGCTAAGCGCACCCGTGCTAGCCGCCCCCTCAGTTACGCGCTATTGCAAGCCTTCATCAGCCCACCTGTCTGCTTCTGACAGCTCGTGCACCCGTGCTAGCCGCCCCTCAGACTCAACTAACCTGGATAAGATCGACGAGGCTTTTAGGCCGATAGGCTAATCCCGCAAAGCTTCCGGCCCCAACCCCCGCTGCGCCCCATCTGTCCGCCACACCCTCGCCCCTCTCCGCCCCAGCCCCCCCCGCCCCCACGCCTCCGCCTCCGCCTGGGTTTGCGCCGGCGCCCTGCGCGCCCCCGTCGCCGTCGTCCTTTCCCCCCGAAGTAAGCACATCCTCTAACAGACTCTCCATCTCCTCCCGATGAGTGGGGAGCGTGGTCGGCGGAAACAACAGATTGGACGATGAGGATCTCCCCGTTCGCAAACCATGCCCGTCATCGAACGGTCGTAGCGAGCCCATCCCCGCGCCATCCTCCCCAAACGCCCCCGCGCTGCCGTCTTGACCAAGCCCCGCGCGGATCTCATAACCCCCCGCTCCCCCTTGCGCATACCCCCCTCCCCCCCTGTCCGCGCCTTCTCCGCCGCCGGGGAACTTCGGCGCGCCCTCTCCGCCGAGCCCTAGGGCGGCGGAAGACTGTAGCCGCTGCGCCAGGCGGTAAGTGTCGCGGGAAATAAGCGGCGGCGGAAGGCGGGGGTTTAAGTGATGGTTGCGGTAGTAGTACTCTAAATACCCCGGATCGGCTCTTAGAGCCTCCTCGTCCTGCAAACGATCTAGAAGCTTCCGCGCATCCCGCTGCTTCTGCAACTGCTGCTGCTGCTGCTGCTGCTGCTGGAGCTGCTGCTGCTGAAGTTGAATCGCAGCGGCTGCTCCGCCGCCGCCGCCGCCACCGCCACCGTCAGCCCCGGCACCGGGCTGATTCCCCAGCGCATCGGCGCCGAGAAACTGACGGTTGAAAGAAAACCCGGGGAAATTACCCATCGCAAAGATGGACCCTTCCACAGACGGCGGAGCGCTACCGCTCCTGTGGGGGTAGTCCCGCCCGCCATACCCTCCCGCCGGAGGCGCACCGCCAAAACCCTCCGCGCCCGCCATTCCGCCCGCCATAGCGCCCCCTCCAGCCCCCTGCTGGTCCCGCAGCCCATACTGCGCTGCTAGCGATGCGCCCGCTGACGCTGCGGAACCGTCTCCTGCCCCCCCAGTCGTTCCCGATATAGACACTTGCTCGTAACGAGTCTGACCGAAGGGCACATTTCCGTCCCCAGTGCCCCGTAGGAGGAGCCCGAGCTCCTGCGCGACTTGCCGATCGTCTTCCGACGCCATCGGAAGATTCATTGAATCTGGACGGATCTCAGAAAGTGGGCAGCATTTGAGGGTCTCGGCTTTCGCACCGCCATTGACGGCTGGAACGGGGTTTTAACGGACGGGAGCTCACAACGCTGAACAAATCACGTCAGGTTAGAGGGGCTTACTAGTGCTATTTGAAGAGATCTTTACGTTAGGTTAAGCAACGCTGTCCTTAGCAGCTCTAGTAAGGGAGAGAATCAAGGGTTCTCTGGTAAGCAAGACGTCGGCTCTGGCGTGAGAAAATATCTTCAGCGAGTTAATCATTCACGCCCACCACCAACACGCGCCTGAATAAACCCTATCCGCGAACCATCATTCCCTGCCCACGAGTCGATACGTGCGGCTCGCGATCCGGCGAAAAAACAATCGTGCATGGGGAACGCAGGGCAGGAAAAGTGGGTGACTAAGGTAAACTGTCATGAGACATGCGTGACTGGTCTGGTGGGCGTAAACCAGAGCGAGAGAACCTACCAGAGAGCTGTCAATACCCTATGCAGTCTCTCTATACCCTACAAAACCGTACCAAGTTCTTGTTTCCATGCTCTAGAACGTACACAACCTTGCCGAGACACACAATGGGACACAGACGCCGAACAAGAAAGGTGAGGCAGAAAGGGAAATGCAAAAAGGAAGGCGGGAGAGTGCAATGCCCGTGCGAAAGAAACGCGCGAGCAACGACCATCATGCACGACGGGTTCTGACGTGGAGGGGGCACATTGGGCTGCGGAAAGCACATAGAGCGTATTGGTCGACGATTGGGAACGAAGCACTCTCTGGTTTCGCGCAAAGTGAGTAACACCGACCGTGAGTTTTGCCTGCGCCGCAAGAAGAGGGATTTCTGCACGACAATGACGTTCTTGGCAGGAGATTCATGTTATATGAAAACTGCAAACGTCTCAATGTACACCGGGAATCGAACATATCTCATTTATCACCAGTCCTGAAAACGGCCCCAGCGCCCATGTTGCCATTTGGACCGTACTTCCAGCAAATTCGCAACAGGCACGCCACCTACGAACCTCAGGGAAAACCGATTTCGATATAAGAACGCATCGAAGTTTGGAAAAGGCCCCACATTTCAGCCACACCAAACTCCAACAACCTTGGGAGTGCCGAGAAAGGAAGGAGAGGTTCAAGAAAGGAGAGGAGGAAACCAAGTAAACTGCTAATCAGCCATGGAGCATCGAGGTGGTTAGGTGGCGATAGGTGGTCCGCCATGGATAGTTGTTTACTGGATTACAGACTCTGTGGTTCAGTTAGTTAACAAAAGGGGCTTGTCCTTAGGTAGTGGATCAAGTACAATGGGTATTGTTGATGATGGTTTAGTGTGACTGAAACCCGTCGAGGAGATCAATTTTGGAGAATTAGCAATAGGTTTCATTCGCCATTGAAGGTCATAATCATCTTAGCAGGCGTGGATCGCCCTTAATTTATATCAGCGTTCTATACGACAACTGCTTAAGTCTGGTTCGCGGTGAGTAAGGCGTGAAATGACAGCATCTATATCATTCTGACAAGCTTTCACTGTTTGGGACCCTCTTATTTTCGGATTTTCCCGGAAGCCAATGAAGCTTGTTATCCAAATTGAAGTATCGTTACCTCCGCGGCTTATCTCCTTGCTAAGGTATTAATGGCGACGGTAAAAACAGCGTCAACTACGTAGCTCCACGTCGCAACTCCTTTTTGTATCCCGTGTTATCTGCAAATGTCATGCTCGCCTTAGTCATTGAGTACTAGCTATACGTTTACTATAGCTTGTTGATTTGCTGGCCGTTCTTTCTTACTTAACTCGTACACGGTCTATAATGGTCTGGAAGGGAGCAAGAGTATGTCGTTATCCTGTACCAGCAGTAGAAACCGGAAGAACGCATTTATGCCTCTGGTGTTTTCCTGGTTCTAAAATTGCTGCAGCTCTCGCATTACCTTCTCATCGCTTCGTTCAGGTTTTCCTTTATCCCGTCTCTTTCCTCGATTCTTTTTTGCCATCTTGCCCTTTCCGTTTTCCATTTGCCTTCTCTCTTTCTCTAATCCCTTTTTGCGGTTGTTAATTTTCCCGTACCTTCTCCTTCTCTCTCTCATCCTCTCAGAGCGCCATGTCAGCGGCTCTCCTCGCGAGGCTACGTGGTAAGCTGTCATTGGTCGCCGATAAGCTCCTCGAGCTTGACCAAGAAGCGCTTCGCCCTTCGCCTCACACCTCTCATCACAACCACCACAATGCTCAGCGCACCCAAGATGGAAGCATGGTTACTGGTGGTAACCCGACTGCCTCCAACACCAGCAGTGACACCAGTACCAGTACGAGTGCCAGGGGAGGGAGCGGCGGCAGCACGAGCTCTGCGACCAGTAACCACAGTAACATTGGTAACCACATCGACCATGGTAACCACGTTACCACTAACAGCATCCCGGAGAGCCCGAGTCTTAACTCCAAAGTCCATGGCGTAATGGCAGTGACCGTGGCTATGGCCCTAGACGTGGGTCGGGAAGTAAAGAAGACTCTAGACGATGGGGAGATGCTACGAGGCTTGCTAGGGCTCCCGACGGAAGGCGCAGGAGCAGGCGGGGCAGTCGGAGCAGGCGCAGGAGGAGGGGGAGAAGGGACTGATATCGAGCAATCAAAAGGAGGCTCGTTGGAGCTGAACGGGAAGGGAGCGCTCGCGCCGGAGATTCACGCGTGCTTGAGTCGCCTCGAAGCGAGGTTTGGCGGGGGGAGGACGGCGGTTGAGGCGATTGAGCAGTGGGTGAATTCCCAGGTGGAGAGTAAGGTGTCAGGATCGGTGCCAAGTGGTGGAGAACGGTTGGACAAGGTGAGCGCCCCGACGGCTGTGGGTGTGGTTGACGGGGCGAGCGAAGCAGGCGAAGTCGAGCGAGCTGTAATTGCGGAAGCGGAGCACCTGGGGGATGCGGCAGCTGTGTCAGCCACTGGCGAAAACTGGTTACCAGGTAAGCTGGCGGGCTCGGTTGAAAAGCAGCAGGCGCAATCGAAGGTCGCTCATGCTCTCCGGGGCTTGGAGTCCTGGGTTGGTACTAACGGAGATGCTTTTAAAGGAGCGTTGCTGCAGCTTTTGGAGAAGGAAGAGGCGCGGCTGGAGGGAGGGATCCAACGGCTGGAAATCGATTCTGAGCGGAAGATCTGCGATCTGAGGGAGGAGATGGAGCGAGCGGTGACCGGCGAGGGGAGGAAGCGGGAAGCTGAGCTGGACCGGATGGTGAATCTGCTTATAACGGAGGCAGCGCACAGGCAGCAACTGGAAGAGGACATTAAAGCCGTGCACGAGCAGTGGGCGAGGAAACTCGAGGAGGCACGGGCGCAGCAGCAGGCGCAGCAACTGGAAGAAATGGCTAGGGTGAAGAGAGAGATGGAAGAGATGAGGGAGCAATGGCAGGCGCAGCAGGCGCAAGCGAACGAGGCTTTAAGAGCAGAGAAGGAAGCGGTGAGAAAGCAGATGGAGCAGATGCGAGAGGAGTGGCGCGTGCAGCAGGCACAGGCGAACGAGGCTTTAATTGGTCCTATGGAGGAGATACGCGAGGAGTGGAGGGCTGCGGGCCTGGGCGGGAGGGTGAAACAGCTGGAGGAGCGGTTGGACGGGGTGGAGAGCGGTGAGCAGGACATGGAGAGCCGGATTTTGCAGAAGGTGGCGGAAATGCGGGTAGAGGCTGGGCTGGAGGTGGATAGGGTAGAGAAGATTGTTAATGAGAAGGTGGATGGACTGAAACAGGAGCTGGATGGGAGGATTGAGGCGAGTCAGCAGAAGGTGGAGCAGTTGGAAGAGCTTTGGATGGGTGCAGATGTGCCTGGTATGGTTGCGCGGATTGAAACGGGGGTGAAGTGTAACAAGGTTGTGATTGAAGCGGTGGATAGGCGGGTGAGGGAGCAGGCGGAGGGGCAGGAGAGGGTGATGGAGGAGGCTGAGAGGAAAGTGAGGAGGGTTGAGGAGAGTGTGGGGGAGAGAGTGGGGAAGGTGGAGGAGAGTGTGAGGAGTATAGAGGAGAGTGTGGGGGAGAGAGTGAGGAAGCTGGAGGAGAGTGTGGGAGAGAAGGTGGTGAAATTGGAAGAGAGTTTGGAGGAGAGGGCTAAGAGGGTAGAGGAGAGTGTCATGGCAGGAGTGAGGAACCTAGAGGAGGTGGTTAAGGAGGTGGAGAGACTTGAAGAGAAGAGCGTTCAGGAGAGAATGGGGGAGGTGGCAGGTAGTGTTGAGGAGCGAGTGAGAGAAATTGAAAGGAAATTGGAAGAGAGGATGAAGAAGGTAGAGGAGAGTGTGGAGGAGAGAGTGAGAAAGGTAGAGGAAAGTGTGGGGGAGAGAGTGATGAAGGTGGAGAGTGTGGAGAAGGTGGGGGAAGCAGAGAAGGGTGTAGAGGAGGGGGTGGAAGGAGCAGGAGCGAGTGTGGAGGAGCGAGTGGGGAGGCTGGAGGGGAATGTGGCGGAGAGTGTGAGGGAGCTGAGGGAGAAGGTGGACGAAGTTGGAAGGCAGGCTGCAGACGTGGGGAGAGTGGTCTTGGAAATCAGTAAGGCTGTTGCAGAGCAGGTGGGAGTGGGAAGGCTGGAGGGAAGTGTGGAGGGAAGTGTGGAGGGGAGTGTGGAACAGAGTGTGAGGGATCTGAGGGGAGAGATAAACGCTGTTGGAAGGCAGGCTGCGGAGGTGGGAAGAGTGGTGTTGGAAATCAGCAAGGAGATGAGCAGCAAGATCAGCAAGGAGGTTGCAGCAACAGCAACTCCTTCCCACCAGCAGCAGCAGCAGCAGCAGATAGAGGCGGTGATTGCAGTTGGCAGGGAGGTCGCTAAGGTAGCAGCAGAACTTTCCAAATCTGTCAAATATGCCAAATCTGGCATAGGGAGCGAGGGGACGGAGGAGGGGGCTGGTTTGCTGGAGCAGGTGGTTCTGATTGGTCCGGAGGTGGCGAGTGTGGGAGCAGCGATAGCTGCGGGTGTTAAGGAGCAAGAGGGAAGGAAAGAGGAGATTAAGTGTCTCGAGGAGGTGGTGCTGATTGGTCGAGAAGTGGCCCAGGTAGCAGCAGAAATCGCCAAGGGTGGCAAGGGCCAGATGCGCGGAATCAAATCTGAGGAGGAAATCAAGTCTCTGATTGCAGCTGAGCTGGCAGCGGCTGGTGTGGTGCAGCAGCAGCAGCAGCAGCAGCAGCCGGAGCAGCAGCAGCCCTGGACGAAGCTTCCAAAAAGGTGGAGAACCTGCAAGAGCCAGCAGCAGCTTTGGACGAACCTTCCAAGAAGGTGGTGCACCTGCAGAAGCTCCTGGAAGAGCAGCAGCACAAGGCTGACGCGGCAGCTGCTGACGTGGCATCCACGATCCAACAGCTATCAGATAAAATCTCTGCGCTGGAGCTGAAACAGGCGCAGACCACGTCAGCAGCAGCATCAGCCGCGTCAGCAGCGTCTGCCGCAGTTGCAGTCACTCACGCCGCGTTCCCCCGCGCTGCGTCCGTAGGAGGAGGCGTATTCAGCTCCCCCGGCGGCCCTAAGACGATCACAGCAGCGGCAGAAGCAGCAGCTGCGATTGTGGCGGACAGAGGGTGGGTGCAGCAGCAGCTGGCGGAGCAGGAGGTGAAGGTGCGGTGGCGAATGGAGGCTCTGCAACGAATGGCGAGTGTTGCCCTGGAGAAGGCGCATAAGCAGGCTGAAGAGGGCGCTGCGATTCTTGCAGCTGTGAAAGCAGCAGCAGGCGCAGCAGGAGCAGCAGGAGCAGGGGGTAGTGCAGGGGCGGAACGGGGGGCAGGGCAAGGGGCAGTGGCAGGGGCAACGTCTGAATCAGAGGAAGGGGCATCTGAAGGGGAAGCAGCAGGGGCGGAGGCTGGCGAAGAGGCAGCAGCAGCAGCAGCAGTGGCAGCGGACAGAGGGTGGGTGCAGCAGCAGCTGGCAGAGCAGGAGGTAAAGTTTGAGAGGCGCGTGCAGGGAATGCAGCGGATAGCAGAGTTTGGCGTCCAGCGGGTGGGACAGCTGGCGGTGCGAGCGGCAGATTTCGACAGTATGCTGAAGCAGGTCCAGGAGGTGATGGCGGCGCTGGCTGCGCGAGTGCGAGGCGTTTTGGAGCAGCAGGTCGGGAGAAACGCGGAACTAGAGGCGCTGGTGGGATGGAAAGCGCGCATGGAGGGGGTTTTGGAGCAGCTGGCGGGGAGAAACGCGGAGATTGATGCGCTGGTGGCTCTGAAAGCGCGGATGGAGGGGGTTTTGGCGCAGCAGGCGGGGTGGGATGCGCGTGCTGATGCGATGATGAAGGAGGTGGGGGAGAAGGTGGGAGGGCTGGTGGAAGGGGAGGCTTGCTGTGTGGCGGCCGTTGCTGCAGCAGAAGCAGCAGGAGTGGCAGGGGAAGAAGTGCCAGCAGAGACAGCATCAACGAGGGCAGGAGAAGCAGACGCAGCAGCAGCAGCAGCAACGGGGGCAGGAGAAGCAGACGCAGCAGCAGCAGCAGCAACGGGGGCAGGAGAAGCAGCAGTGGCAGAAGCAGACGCAGCAGCAGCAGAACTAGCATCTTCAACACCGGCGATGGTGAAGGAGGGAGAGGACGAGGTGGGACGGCTGCTGGAAGGGGAGGCTAGCTGCGTGACAGCCGTTGCTGCAGTAGAAGCAGCAGCAGTGGCTGGGGAAGACGTGGCAGCAGAGGCAGCAGCAGTTGCAGCGACAGATGTGGCAGCAGAGGCAGCATCAGTTCCAGAAACAGACGTGGCAGCAGAGGCAGCAGCAGCAGGGGCAGGACAAGCAGCAGTGGAAGTAGCAGACTCAGCAGCAGCAGAACTAGCATCTTCAACACCGGCGATGGTGAAGGAGGGTGAGGACGAGGTGGGGGCTTCGGTGGGAGGGGAGGCTCCATGTGTGTCCTCCATATCTGCAGCAGAAGCCGAAACCGCAGGGGCAGAAGCAGAGGCAGCAGCAGCAGCAGTGGCAGACGCAGAGGAAGCAGAAGCAGATTCAACAACAGAAGCAGCAGCGGAAGCAGCATCAGAAGCACCACCAGCACCAGCAGTGACAGCGGAACCAGCACCAACGGCAGCAGAGTCTGCGGCAGCAGCATCACCTGCCACGATAGCAGAGGCAGAAGCTGAATCATCAGCACCAGCAGCAGAGGCTGCAGTTGAATCACCTGCACCAACAGCAGAGACAGCAGTTGAATCAGCTGCAGCAACAGCAGAAGCAGCAGTTGATTCATCTGTTGCCGAGGCAGAAGCTGAATTATCAGCACCAGCAGCAGAGGCTGCAGTTGAATCACCTGCACCAACAGCAGAGACAGCAGTTGAATCAGCTGCAGCAACAGCAGAAGCAGCAGTTGATTCATCTGTTGCCGAGGCAGAAGCTGAATTATCAGCACCAGCAGCAGGGTCAGCAATTGAATCACCTGCACCAACAGCAGAGGCAACAGTTGAATCATCTGCAGCAACAGCAGAAGAAGCAGTTGATTCATCTGTTGCAGAGGCAGAAGCTGAATTATCAGCACCAGCAGCAGAGGCTGCAGTTGAATCACCTGCACCAACAGCAGAGACAGCAGTTGAATCAGCTGCAGCAACAGCAGAAGCAGCAGTTGATTCATCTGTTGCCGAGGCAGGAGCTGAATTATCAGCACCAGCAGCAGAGGCTGCAGTTGAATCACCTGCACCAACAGCAGAGACAGCAGTTGAATCAGCTGCAGCAACAGCAGAAGCAGCAGTTGATTCATCTGTTGCAGAGGCAGAAGCTGAATTATCAGCACCAGCAGCAGGGTCAGCAGAGGCTGCAGTTGAATCACCTGCACCAACAGCAGAGACAGCAGTTGAATCGACAGCAGAGACAGCAGTTGAATCGTCAGCACCAACAGCAGTGGCAGCAGTTGAATCATCTGTTGCAGAGGCAGCAGTTGAATCATGTGTTGCAGAGGCAGCAGTTGAATCATCTGTTGCAGAGGCAGCAGTTGAATCATCTGTTGCAGAGGCAGCAGTTGAATCATCTGTTGCAGAAGCAGCAGTTGAATCATCTGTTGCAGAGGCAGCAGTTGAATCATCTGTTGCAGAGGCAGCAGTTGAATCATCTGTTGCAGAAGCAGCAGTTGAATCATCTGTTGCAGAGGCAGCAGTTGAATCATGTGCACCAACAGCAGAGGCAGCAGCAACAACAACACCACCACCATTGTCTGTAGATGCAGCAGCAACACCAGCAGCAGAAGTGTTCGTAGCAGCACCACCACCGCCACCATCACCAAAACCGGCAGCAACGTCTGTAGCAGCCGCAGCTGCGTCGGCGTCTGTAACTCCTGTCCCTTCTGTGACTTTTGCAGCAAGCCAGATGGATCTCCTGTGCCCTACACCCGGGTATGTAAGGGATTATGAGTTGCATTTAGAGTCGCCATCAGCAGCAGCAGTAGCAGCTGTGGCAAGCCAGATGGACCTTCTGTGCCCTACGCCCCGGGATGTGGCGAAATTTGAATTGCCTCTAAAGTCGCCATCAGCATCAGCAGCAGCCGCAGCAACAGAAGCAGCAGCAGCAAGCCAGAAGGACCTCGTGTTCCCTATGCCCCAGGATGTGGCGGCTTGTGACTTGCCTCTAAAGTCGCCATCAGCAGCCAAGGCTGCAGCAGCAGAAGCAGCAGCAGAAGTAGCTCCAGCAGCAGCAGGGGAAGCAGCTGCGCCTGCATCCCCTCGAGGTTCTACCCAGGAGCAGAAGAGTTCAGATTCGATTCAGCAGTCGCCATCAGCAGCAGCGGCAGCAAGAGCAGCAGCAGCAGCAGCAGCAGAAGGAGCAACAGCAGCACCAGAAGCAGGAGAAGAAGGAAAAACAGCAGCACCAGAAGCAGGTGCAGCAGGAGAAACAGCACCAGCAGAAGCAGGAGCAGCAGGAGAAACAGCCGCAGCAGAAGCAACAACAGCACCAGGAGCAGCAGGAGCAGCAGAGGCAACAGCAGCAGCAGAAGCAGAAGCAGCAGGAGCAACAGTAACTGCAGAAGCAGGAGCAGCAGAAGCAACAGAAGCACCAGAAGCAGGAACAGCAGGAGAAACAGCTGCAGCAGGAGCAGAAGCAGCAGCAGGAGAAGCAGAGGCAACAGCAGCAGCAGGAGAAGCAGAGGCAACAGCAGCAGCAGGAGAAGCAGAGGCAACAGCAGCAGCAGCAACAGGAGCAGCAGGATCAACAGAAGCAGTGGAAGCACCAGAAGCAGGGGCAGCAGGGGAAACAGCTGCAGCAGACACAGAAGCAGCAGGAGCAGCACCAGGAGCAGGAGGAGAAACAGCCTCATCAAAAGCAGAAGTAGTAGGAGCAACAGCAGCAGCCCCATGTGGAGCCCCGTCTGCAACCCAATCGTCACCATCATCACCACTACCTTCACCATGTGCAGTAGCAACATCACCATCTGCGGGCGCAGCAGCTGCAACTTCCCTAGCTGCATCTATAGCAAGTCAGGTGGAGTTGCTGTGCAACGACTCCCAGGAGACTGTTGAGACGTCTCAAAAGTCGTCTATAGCAAGTCAGGTGGAGTTGCTGTGCAACGACTCCCAGGAGCAAGACTCTTCCCAGTTAACTCAAGTGCCCTCTGAGTCAACTCAAGAACCTTCCGAGTCAACTCAAGCGCCTTCTGAGTCAACTCAAGAACCTTCCGAGTCAACTCAAGCGCCTTCTGAGTCAACTCAAGCGCCCTCTGAGTCAACTCAAGCGCCCTCTGAGTCAACTCAAGAGCCCTCTGAGTCAACTCAAGCGCCCTCTGAGTCAACTCATAATCTTTCTGACTCACCTCAAGAGTTGCAGCAGCAGAGCATTCTTGAAACGCCCCAGGACTTGTCAGCCCAGGTGGAGCTGCCACACACCAAGTCCCAGGAGCAGCAAGAGCCTTGCGAGTCGACTCAGCAGGACCATGACGCGTCAACTCAGCAGGACCTGCAGCAGCAGAGCATTCTTGAAACGCCCCAGGACTTGTCAGCCCAGGTGGAGCTGCTGCGTGCCAAGGCCCAGGAGCAGCAGGCACAGCTGCTGCAGCTGCAGCGGTCGCTCCAGGAGAACGGCAGACAGCTGGCCCTGCTTGAAAGGGCGTGCCGAGAGAAAGAGAGAGAGAAAGCCGGTGCTGCTGCTGTGACTCGTGAGGTGGCATCAGAGGAGCAGGCGAGGCAGGAGGATTTGGTCGAAAGGGAGTGTCGGGAAAAAGCCGGTGCTGTTGTGGCTTTTGAATCGACTCCAGAGGAGCAGGCGAGGCAAGTGGCTTTGATAGTAAGGGCGTGCAAGGTAATGGCAGATGCTGCTGCTGTTCTTGAGTCTACGGAGGTGTCAGCTAGGGGTTGTGAAGAGACGGCGTGTCAGGAGAAAGCTAATGCTGCTGTGACTCTTGAGTCGACTCCAGAGAAGCAGGCGAGGCAAGTGGCTGTGTTGGAAAAGGCGTGCAAGGTGATGACAGATGCTGCTGCGGTTCTTGAGTCTACAGAGGTGTCTGCTAGGGGTTGTGAAGAGAGCGCGCGTCAGGAGAAAGCTAATGCTGCTGTGACTCTTGAGTCAGACGCTTCTGCATCTCCTGAGTCGACCCAGACGTCGATTAACGCTTGTAACAAGAGCAGGGAGTGCATGGGGAGAGTGGACGCTCTGGAGTTGACTCAGAAGCAGCACGCGCAGCAGCTAGCCGTCCTGGAGAGGGTGTGTCAGGAGAAAGCAGAGGCTGCTGCTGCTGCTGCGGCTCTTGAGCTGACGCAGGAGCAGCACGCCAGGAAGTTGGCTGTGCTTGAGAGGCTATGTAGGGAGAGAGTTGATGCAGCTGCGGGTGTTGAGTTGGCTCAGGCGCAGCACGCTAGGCAACTGGCTGTACTGGAAAGAATTTGTCGGGAGAGAGCAAACGCGGCTGCATCTCTGGAGTTGACGCAGAGGCAGCACACTAGGCAGCTAGCCGATCTGGAGAGGGTGTGCAGGGAGAGGGTGGAGAGTGCAGGTCAGAGAGAGGTGCAGCAGCAGCAGCAGCAGCAGCAGCAGCAGCAGCAGCAGCAGCAGCAGCAGCAGCATCAGCAGCAGCAGCAGCAGCAGCATCAGCAGCAGCAGCAGGAGCAAGAGAGTGCCGCGGTGGCGCCTCAAAAGGAAGAGCAGCAGCAGGAACGTGCGTTGGCAGTGCAGGAGCTGAGAAGGAAGTGGGAGGGCATGAAGGGTGCTGGTGGGAGTGCAGCAGGAGGAGCAGGCACGAGCAAAGGTACAGGCACGGGCACAGGCACAGGCACAGGCAGTGGAATGGGCACAGCAACAGGAAGTGGAAGTGGAAAAATGGCAGGGATAGGAGGGGCTTCAGCAGGAAAAGAAGTGGGACAAGCAGAAGGAACAGGAGCAGGAGAAGCAGGTGGGAAGGCAGGCGAGGAGAGGCAGAATGATGGGTCCGAATCGACTCATGATGAAGAAGCGACTGCTAAGGGTAGAGGAGCCATTGTTGCAGACTCCACCACAGTAGCAGCAGCAGGAGCAGGAGCAGGAGCAGGAGCAGGAGCAGGAGCAGGAGCAGGAGCAGGAGCAGGAGCAGGAGAAGCAGGTGGGAAGGCGGGAGACGAGAAGCAGAGTGAGGGTGGTTCCAAATCGACGCATGATGACGAGGCAACCTCTAAAGATGGAGAAGCCGCTGTAGCAGTTCCAAACACAGCATCAACCACAGCCCCGAGTAGCACCAGCAGCAGCACTGGCAGCACAAGCACCACCACCACCAGTAGCAGCAGCAGCAGCACCACCACCACCACCACCACCACCACCACCACCAGCACCACCAGCATAATCCTCTCGCACACCAATATCAAGCACACTGTAGACTTCACCCGCCTCCCCAACACCACAGACAAGGACTTCGAGCAATTCCTCCTCCTAGCCCAGCTGCTCCCCCCTCCCATCCTCTCCTCCATCTCCGCCCTCCGCTTCGGCTCCTCCGACTCCTCCTGTAAGTCCCTCACTGCTTCCTCCCTCCGCCACGCCACGGCTCTCCCCGGCTTGGCCGGCCTGCACCTGCGGGGATGCACTGGGGTTACCACCGAGGGGGTGTTACAGATCGGCCGGTTGACTACGGTTGACTCGCTTGACCTGAGCTACACTCCTGTAGGGGACGCTGGGCTGAGGTGCCTCGAGCCGCTGGTGATGCTGAGGGAGTTGGATTTGAGCGAGTGTAACCTGGTAACCGACGTGAGCGTGCAGTGGATCGTGAAGCTGAAACGGCTAAGGAAATTAGACCTGGGGGTGTGTCTGGGGATCGGAGAGAGAGGTCTGGAGAGGGTGTGTCGCGAGATGAGCTGGTTAGAGGAGCTAGGGCTTTCAGGGACGGCGCTGAATGACAGGGGTATGGAGAGGATTGGGCAGATGGGCGGGTTGAAGAGCCTGGATGTGTCGCATACGAGAGTGACTGATGAGGGAATTGCGTGCCTGGTTGTGTCTGAAGCTCTGAGTGCTGGTAAGGAGAGGGCACGAGTGGTGATGGCTAGATTAGCAGCAGAGGCTGAAGCAGCAGCAGCTGCTCTGGGAGCAGCTGTAAGGGCAGAAGCAGCAGTTGCAGGAGCAGCGGAAGCTTCGGCAGCAGTGGGTCAGGGTACTGCTCCTGCTGCCGCTGCCCCAGCTGTAGCAACAGTGTCAGGAGCAGCATCAGTCCCAGCGGCAGCAGGAGGTGCAGCAGTGAGGGTTGCAGAAGCAGGGCCGGCAGGGGGGAAGCCAAGGACAAGGTCTCCAGGCTCTATTGCTCGTGAGGCTTTGGCGCGTTTTGTTGGTGATGACAGTGATGATGACGATGCTACAGCTGCTGCTGTTGCTGGTGCTGCTGCTTCAGGCTTTGTTGCACCTGCTGTTGCTGCCGCTGGTACTGGTCCTGGTACTGGTGCCACTGCTGCTGCGTCATCTGCTGGTGTGGGTGCAGCTGATGCTGCTGGTACTGTTGGTGCTGCTGCAGCTTCTGATGCCAGTGCCTGCACCACTGGCACTGAGGGTAACAAAGCTGCTGGATCTGAGGAAGCTGCTGCTGGCTCCAAGGAAGCTTCTGCTGGCTCTGAAGAACCTTCCTCTGGTGACGGGTCAGCTGCTGCAGCAGCCACCGAAGCTGCAGGCTCAGGAATCCCTGAGACTGGCAACCCTGTTTCTGCTGCACAGCCTGCTGCACAGCCAGCTGCTGGGGCAGCTGCTAACACTGAAGCTGCTGCCACAAAAGTTGTTGCTGCAGAGCCTCCTGCTGCTACTGAAGCGTCTGCTGCAGGGCCTGCTGCGGTTTCGGACCAACAACAGACTGATGCAGAGAGGCTGGAAACAGCAGAGGAACAGAGTGCCTCAGAGAAACCAAGTGCTGCCGAGAAACAAGGCTTGGAGCAGCAAGGTGCATCATCAACTCACACGAGTGGCCCCCCTGCACCCCTCACTCCTCCCAACCCACCATTATCATCATCACCTTCCGCAGAACCTTCCTCTCCGTTCGTCCCACGCCCCCCTCCCCCTGCCCCTGCCTCCCGCTCGCTCCTCCGCCTGCATCTCGTGGGCTGCTCCCAACTCACCGACACCGCTCTGCACCACATTGCACACCTCTCCCGGCTCCAAGCCCTCGACCTGAGCTTCACCAGAATCACAGGCGAGGGGCTCGTTTCTCTTAAAGCCCTGGCTTCTTCTCTTAACGAGTTGGTTCTTAGTGGGTGCGAGCAGCTGGGGGTGGAAGAGAAGGGGAAGGGGAGGAAGGGAGGGAAGGAGGGAGGGGAGGCGGGAGGGGAGGAGGCGGGTAAGGGCACCATAATGGAGCAGCTAGGGGCGTTTGCACAAGGCAGCTCGTGGTTTGGATTCCTGCAGATGGAACAACCATACCTGGGCAGCACCAGCAGCACCAGTAGCACCAGTAGCAACAAAGGCGGCAGCAGCAGCAACACCAGCACCAGCAGCGGTAAATGCAGCAGCACCACCAGCACCACTACCAGCAGTAGCAGGGCGGTTGCACAGCCCGGGGCTGCGGCTGCAAAGGGCGGCGTTCTCCGTCATCTAGTCCCTCTAACGTCACTGCGCAAGCTCGACCTGTCCAACTGCGTGCGAGTGGGGGAGGAGGGCATACTCTGTGTGTGTGTAGGCATGCCGTGGCTTGAAGACCTCTGTCTTGACGGGTGTAAGCTGAGTGATGCAGGCTTGGAGGCTATAGGAAGGATGAGTCGACTGCGAGTGCTCGACATCTCGGGTTCTGCTGTCACTGACGCTGCTCTAGTGCACCTTTCTCAGCTAAGCGCCAGTGGCACTGGCAGCGCCAGCGGTAATGGTTCCTTTTCGTCTGTTCCTTCTACCGGTGCTAGCAGCACTGGTAGTATTGCCAGCACCAGCACGGCCCCTCCCCCCGGCCTGCAGGAGCTTCGGATGTGGCGGTGCCCGAACCTAACCTCCTCAGGCATGGAACACATCGGGCGAATCCGAACCCTTCGTCGCCTCGATCTCTCCCAGTGCCCCGTGGGAAACCTAGGGTTAGCCCACCTCCGCCCCCTAGCCTCCTCCCTCACTTCCCTCAATCTCTCCTGGTCGGGTGTGTCAGATGAGGGGCTGTGCCAGCTGGCGGGGTACGATTGGCTGGAGGAGCTGCACCTGAGCGGCCCGAACGTGACCCCGCTCGGGCTGAGGCAGGTTCGGGGGCTGCCGAGGCTGAGGAAGGTTCGGCTGTGGTCCGTGACGAGTGAGGTGCTGGCTGCTGCTAGAGATGTGCTGCTGGGGGTGGTGGTGTATTGAGAGGGGGGTGGACTGAGAGGGGGGTGGATTGAGAGGGGGTGGATTGAGAGGGGGGTGGATTGAGAGGAGGTGAACTGTGGGAGGAGGGATAATTTATTGGGAGATAATACATGGACAGATGATTCAATGAGGGTTGGTTGAATGAGGTGAGGTGTGGTGTTGTGTGGTGTGGTGTGGTGTGGTGTGGTGTGGTGTGCTCTTTGTGACAAGTGATGCATGTGGATGTATTCCAATGTGTGTGTAAGTATGTGACTGTGTGTGTTGCAGCGGGTTCAGTCTGGTGCATGTCCAGGCAGGAACGGCTGAAGGCTGGAGTGCACAAGACAGCAGCGGTTAGGCTTTTGCTGATTCTGTGCCATAAGCTGCTTGCTGGGGTTCATTCTTTCGGTCTCTTGACAGCAGGTGCAGCAGCAGCAGCGGCAGCAACGGTCTCAATTGCAGTGGCTGGTTTTCAGCTTGACTGTTCTGGCTTATTCTAACTTGGGGGCATGTTATTGGCTTCCTCCACCATCCTTTGCTTCCTCTCCCTCCCACTCCTTGCGCTTCCTATGTTCCTCCTCCCTCCCTCTCCACTTGGTTAATGTTTATGTACCTTGCTCCCTTCCCAACTGCTACCCCTTTTTTAGTGCTTCTCTTTTCACCTTAGAGTGGTACTCGAAGCTGTTCTGTGCTTGCCCTTAATAGTGCTCTGCGTATTCTATAATATCACTTGCGTTATTTTGACCCTTTTTTTCCCAACCCTTTCCCTTTTGTTGACTGAAGATGCTACCCATAGGAGAAGATAAGTTCCATGTTGAACTGAGGTGTTTGTTTTCCTATATTCCCGCGTTCCCAAGTTAGAACCAGACCAACCTGTGATGGGATGTCAATTTCACACTGCTCCCTGAGGTCAACCCTATTCGCCGAAATTCAAACGAGGAAATCAGCGGACACGGCAACCGACGATCAAGATCATCCGAGGTTAGCTCTCAGATTCTTTCCGCCGCTGATTCGTGGTCCGTAAAGACGGGCCCCCCAAGAAGCTCCACAGGACCCGACCGAACACCAACGGTTCTACAGGTCAGCTTCGCGGATTGCTACAGGTCAGCAAAATCCACTCCAGCATGAAGAGCAGAGCAGCGCAAGGCATGGCGCAGAACAAGGCCCTTCTGGTAACGAAACAGCCGCAGCAGAGGGAGAAGATGGAGACCTTCGGGGCGCGCAACACACCGAACCAACCTCGAAGGATTTCCTCCGCCCTTCCTCACGTCCTAAAAATGGGGCAGCACACTCTCCCCCCTTTCCCGCGTCTGTCGCGTCCTGCCCGCTCTCCCACGCTCTTTCCTTCGTTCCTCGCAGACTTGTCCCCGTAGAATTCAAGGTTGGCTTCGGCTCGCATTCGGCATTCCCAGGTTTTCTTTTGAGGTCAGTCCGCCTGCCTTAAGTGCAGCTTTCAACACGTGGTTTCATCATTTCCGCCAAGTGACTAGGTGACTAAGCGATCTCTCAGAAAAGATGTAAGCAATCTGTAGCCCTCATTCTAAGTGTTGAGTCCGGCCTCAATCTCAGCCTCCCAAACCTATCGATAACAATCGTGTTCCACACTCGATCTCCCGCCCGGCCGCCGCACTCCCCTCCCCGCATCTTTCCCTCTTCTCCCTCACCTAACCCCTCCCCCCCTTACACCCTTTCCTCCCGCCACCTAATCAAAGCAGCCTGCAGTTACGATTCTGACATACCTTGGGGTATGTTAGCATCCAAATCGTGAGATCCTCATGAATGGCAGCTGCTGTCTGGATGAGACGATAGCGTTCGATTCTTGACGTGGAACGTGCTAGAGAAGAGGCGATAGCGGTCGGTTTCAGACTTGGAGAACGTTTTGGGCTGGACTTCCAACTTTTTTCACTGGATTAAGGTCATTGGTCAGTTGTTGAGGCCGGTCGGAACAAAATAAGTGTGCCTCTTGTTAACTGCCGAACACCGCAGTCCGCACCTTTATTCCCAAAATAGTTGTATTTATTAGTTGTTTCGCGACGACATGTGTGCACACGATCGTAACGTTTAGTCGATTCCAGATTCTCATTTTCTTTTAAGGTCAAATCATTCACTTCTTTTCTTCGTGAGTGGTTCGTAGCGTGACTTAAGGCAACACTTGATACTCGCACCAAAAGCCAGACAATTGTTTTAAGTATTGCCTTTTAGTGCGCTTAGTCTTTTGAGACGTTTAAAAAACGAAGCTGTGAGAGATGGAAGCTCTGCTAAACGACATGCACGGCACGCACTTAATCGACTCCCATCCTCCGCGACACTCGCTCGACGACGCGCTCCGGCGAGCCTGCCTCGTCGCTGAAACTTCCTCGCCGTCTCCCACTTCCGTCAACATTAACGTTAACGTCTGCGTCAACGGCGGCACTAACGGAAGGAGGAATCTGCAGGGCGCTGGGACGACAAATCCTGCGGGCAAGTCTAACGGAAGAGTGCATCCTGGTTTGGACTGTACCGAAGGTGCTTATAACGAAAGATTTCCTGCAGGTCATGTGAAGCATGAAGACTGCGGGATCGAATTAGTAGGCCCTATACCCCGGTCTAAGGCAAGTAAAGACCGTGTACTAGGCGACAGCATGATTATAGATGCTCCCGGTGCCGCTCCTTATCGCGGACAGGCAACCAATTCCGTTTCTGCGCTTCCTGGCGTGAAACGCGGCGAATCGTCGGATCTAACCAGCGGGACCAACGGCGGTATTTATGGAGGAACGGAGACCCGTGAGGCCGGGACTGCCGCCGGATTTGACTGCGGAGAAGGCGGCGGCGGAAGTGGCGGCGGAGGAGGCGGCGGCGGAAGTGACGGCCGAGGAAGCAGCGACGGAGGGAGAGAGGACAAAGAGGAGGAGCAGAGTTCGATTACACGAGAGTTTGCGAAAATTGCGGCGAGAAAACGAGCGGAGCGGCTGAGGAACAAGCGGGGCGGCGTGATATGCGGACGGAGTGGAAGTGAGTCGGAAGCCTTAGAACGAGCCTTGGAGTCTGCCGAAGCTACAGTCGTGTCAAACGGGGTGGCTACTAACGGGGCGGCTACTAACGGGGGCGAGTTCGTAGCGGGGGAAAGAGTTGGGGTGAAGGCCGGTTCTTGCCGAGTTAGAGTTATTCCCCCGTTATCAGCGGCAAGCGGACTCGATTCAATTTACCGTCATGAGCCGAACATGGGTCAAGACAGGTTCGCTGCGGTAGCCTCGGAGTGCGGGAGAGGTTCGGGAACAGGTTCGGGAGCGCGATGCCAATCGGAATCGGAATCGGAATCGGAAGGGTACACGGCGGTATTCTCTCGCCTCAAGGCACAGAAGCTTCGCGAGCGAACCGAACATAATGACGACGGTACTGCAGCAGCAGGATCAACAGCAGCAGTAGCACCAGCAGGAGCAGGAGCTGCGCCGATTGCGGAGCCGATAGCGGCGCCGATTGTAGCGCCGATTCCGGAGTTCATCCCGTATCAGGTGGGGGACGAGGCGGCTGTTGAGCTAACCTTCGCCTGCGGGATGGGCGCAGGGGTGCAGGCCCGCGCGGGGGGGGAATTAGACGCTCGGGGGAAGGCGCGCGCCGGGGGGGAGGTGGGCCGAGGCGGGTTGCCCCGCAGCCCTGTGCGCAAGTTTCGTGAGGGCGGGGGGGTGAGGGTTGCGGCGGCGCTGCATGCGCAAGGGCAGGCGGAAGAAGTAGCGCAAGGCGCGCGCGGGGCTGAGGCAGCGGGGGGAGCGAGGGGAGAGGGTGGGGCGCGTGGAGCGGAGGGGCGGGCGGAGGGGTTAGTAAGCTTGACGTTTCAGCAGTGGGACAAAATCAAGGAGCGGGTGATGGCGGGAGGGGAGGAGGCGGGGGAGGGGGAAGACGGGGGAGTGGCGGGGGAGGCGGGGGAGGGTGAGGCAGGGGGGATGGGGGAGGTTTGGAATGAGGAGGAGGAGGATCGGGTGGCGGATGCCGAAGCTGCAGCTGCGGACCAAGCCGCGGAAATCGCTGCCAGGGCTGAGCGGCAGGCTCGGATACAGAGGCTGCTGCTGGAGGTGAACCTTGCGCGCCTGGCGCAGTGGGGGGGGATGGGGGGAGCGGAGCTTTGCAGTGGCGCGGGGAAGGCGCTTGCTAGCAGCGCGCCCGGGGGTTTATTCTTGGGGGAAAGGGGGACAGGGGGAGGCGGAGGGGGGAATGGGGGGGACGCGTGGGGGTACAGCTCTGGAAGCGGGTCGTCTGGTGTGAGTAGCAATAGCAGCATAGAGGGGAGCGGGGGCAGTGGGGGAGGCGGGGGAAAGGGGGAGAGTTTGTCTTTGCCTGTCACTCCAGCAGGAGGGGGGGGAGGTGGGGCAGCAGGGCGAATGGGTATGGGGTACCAGGGAGGAGGAGGCATGATGGTGCATGGGGGAGGGGGATATGGGGGAGGGATGTATGGGGGAGTGGGATGTGGTGCAGGGGGGTACGGTGGAGGATATGGTGCAGGGGGGTATGCGGGGGGAGTGTTTGTTGGGGGGCAGATTGTTACCACTCAGGCACAGCCACAGGCACAGGCACATGTGCAGGCACATGGGCAGGGCAAGAAGGGGTTTTTCTCGCTGCTCAAGGTGGGGCGAGGTGGTGGGAAGAAGCTGGCAAAATCGGAATCAGCAGATGGTCGCCTGTGTTGATTTGAGTTGACTTTAGTTGACTTAAGTTGACTTCAGATCTTGTCCGTATTGGAAGCAGAGTTACTTGGTTACCAGCAGGTGTCTCCCTGCTGTGTGCTCTAGCAGGTTTTGCTCCTAGAAAAGGAATATTGGCAGGAAATGGTACCATGTGTACATTTGTTGCACGTGTGGTGTTGGTTAGAGTAGAAATTCAGAGCAATGGGAAAGGGTGTAACCTGGTATAAATGAGTAGGCACTTGTGTGTAAAATTAAAACTGAGCGCATTGGGCCAGGGTATCAACAGCTAGTAGAGCGTGTATCAAAACTGCTGCACCTGACACTCAGATTCGAGTCAGCTCAAGAATTATATTTCAGACACCACTTGGACTCTCCCCTTCCCCCACCTGTGGCCCTTAGTTCCGCTACAGCTTCTAGAGCTCTCCTCAACGCTGCTACATCTGACACCGAACCTGCTCCGAACCTCTCTGCACATTGCCGAACGATTTCCGAAGCTGTCAAGCCAGCCTCTCCCGGAGCATCCACACTACTGGATGCTGCCGGGCCTAGTATTGCCGTACCTGGTGCCGAGCCTGTGGCCAGGCCTGGTGCCGAACCTGATTCCTGGAACAGTAACACAAGCTTCTGCTGCAGGCTCAGGCTGGAAGCAGCACCCTGCATTCCTCCTGCTGCCGAACCTGTTTCCGGGCCTGAATTCGAACCTCTGCCTGCCAAACCTATACCAAGGCCACTTGACCGGGCGCCCAGGCCAATGCCTCTCCCTACTATTGTCATAAAACCATTACCTTCACCACCACCACCACTACCACCACCACCAGAAGCAAAACTGCCACTACTACCATCCCCTCCTCCTCCTCCTCCTCCTCCTCCTCCTCCTCCTCCTCCTCCTCCTCCTCCTCCTCCTCCTCCTCCTCCTCCTCCTCCTCCTCCTCCTCCTCCTCCTCCTCCTCCTCCTCCACTTGCTATAGATTGCACCATACCTTGCCTCTGCCTCAGCCTTTGCACCAGCTCACTAGAGGACAAGGCAGTGCCGCCCGTAATCCCTGCACTCACCCCTCCCCCACCCCCTCGTCCACTCCCGAACCTGCTGCTAGCATTGGTGCTCGCCGAACCGAACCTCCTCCGGCCCCCACGAGCTGGAACACCAGCCTGGCCAGACCTGCCGGTCCAGGTAGGTTCGGAAACGTCGCTGGAGGCTCGGTCGCGCTGCGATTGGCGGAGAGCTGCTTCTGCCCGTGCCGCCACCGCCGATGCTTCACAATCCATCCGAATCCGATCCGCCGACGCCAGCCGTTCGATCGTATCCCGGTCCAACGCAGCCTGCACACCGTTGGATTCAAAAAGGGACCTAAGAATCTTGGCCTCATCTCGTTCCCCGTTACTATTACTACCATTCTGCCTTGAATTCCTGCTCGCTGTATTCCCCTTATTCCTGCTCTCTGTACTACCCAGCATGCCTTGATGGTTGCCACTTCCTAGCTGGGTCCCATTGCCTTGCCTCACTTCCCCCACACCCTCTTCCTCCTTCACACTTACTGACCCTTCAAATCCTCCCCCACCTCCTCTCATTGCTTCCTGCGACCCTCCCCCTCCCCCTCCCCCTCCCCCCAACACCATTTTCACCCCAGGTAGACTCGCCAGCACATCCGCATTGTCCAATCGCAAGCTGACATCTGTCGCCATCCCCGCTCCCCTCCCACCCCCTCCCCCACCGTCCCTCTCCCTTCCCCTCCCCTTCCGCTTTCCCCTACCCTCCTCTGTGTCCTGTCCTCCTCCCTCCACCCCCTCCTCCTCTTCTTCTAAAGTAAACAAGTCTGTTAAATCCTTGGACTTAAAAAGCCGCTTCTGCTTTGGATCCCTAAGCACCCGGTTGGAGAGCAGCTGCTTCGACAGCTGGCGGTGAAACACCTTCTCCTCTATAGTCCCCCTCGTTACAAGCCTGTAGATAATCACCTCCCTCTTCTGCCCTATGCGCCATGCCCTCTCCCGAGCCTGCAAGGAGGAATAATAAATGAAAAAGAGCAAGAATAGGAGATTATAAATACATATACATAAAAAAAGGCGTCTCATACAATTCTATTAAGATTCACCGTGATGTATGAGGATAAGAGAAGCATGACCATACTGCACCGCACAACACCGCACCCAAAACCATCTCACCTGCAGGTCCGTCGATGGGTTCCAGTCAGGATCAAATATCACGACCCGATTGGCCCCCGTCAGGTTCGTTCCCAGTCCGCCGACCCTAGTGGTCAGCAAAAAGACAAACACGCCGCCCTCCCCGCTGTTGAACTCGTCGATCAGCGCCGCCCGCAGCCCGGGCGGCGTGCTGCCGTCCATTCGTCTGTATCCCAAGTTATGGTTGAGCACGAGGGATTCGACGATATCCAGCATCTGCTGCGTCTGGCAGAAGACTAGAGCCCTGTGGCCTTCAGCTCTCCACACTTGTAGTATCTGTGGTGTTACGGGACGGCAAAATGAAGGGTAAGGGATGGGAAGAGGAATGATGGACGAAGGACAAGGGAAGAGGGACGAGGTTTTAGGGACGAGCGAAGAGGGACGAGGGAAGGAAGATAGAAATAGAGAGTCTTGCCTTAACACATCCAGCACAAGCAGCTTTGACGCTTCTTAAAACAATCAAGAAAAAGATTATCTCCCCATCTTTTACCTTATCCAGCACTTGCAGCTTGGAGCTTCGGTCGGGATTTCCAAAATCAGGATCGTTCCTCCTTGTGTTGCCGCCCTCCCCTCCCTCCTCTTCCACCACTGCCGCCCGCCACTTCTCCCACCGCCCTCCTTCCCTCGGATCCACTACCAAATCCCTCACTCCCTCACTACCTCTCTCACTCCCTCTCACTCCGTCACTCCCTTCCTCCCCCCTCCTCCCTCGCTCCCTCCCACCCCGTCTCCTCCCCCTCTTCCTCCTCCCCTCCTCTTCTTCTCCCTCCTCTTTCACACCCTCTTGCTCCTCCTCTTGCTTCCCCTCACTCTCACCTCCCTCTCCCTCCCCTCCTCCCAGCACCTCCCTTTCATCCACATCTAACCCCAATAAATCCGGGTGGTTGCAAATTTTCCTCGGCACATCGATCCCATATAAGCTGTTTCGATACCGGTCCAGAATCTGCCGCATCTCCTCGCTTTGTAGAAACGCGCGGTACAGCGTGCGTTGGAATCTAGTGAGCGGCACCAGCAGCACGCGCTCTGTCTTTTCTGGCAGCTGAATGTCAACGTCGGCTTTAACTCTCTGGAGGAGGTATGGTAAGATCACATCTCGAAGCACAACGGCACACTTGTATGCCGTGGCAACCTGTGGGGATGGGTAACGGGGGGAGTGGGGAACGGGGAGAGGAGAGAGGGAAGAAGGGAGAAGGGGTTAAGAGGGGGGCAATGTTGAGAGGAGGAGCTTTGGGTGGAAGGAAGCCAAACATGGAGAACTGCTTTTCGTGTTCCTGCACCGAGAACGTAAATAACCCTTGGACGATTGAGTTGAAAGAGGTCTCAAAAATCAGGCACTGAAAACGTGACAACTCCTTGATGGTTGTGTTTGGAGACATCTCAAAACTCCCGCGCTCAAGACCTGATAACCCCTTGACCCTTAATAACACAGCATTCGCTCACTCACCATCCACTCTTCCAACCCTACCTACCTGCAGCGGAGTGGCATTGAGGTACCCGCCAATGGCGATGGGAAGAGCAAACTCCGTTGAAAACACTGGTAGCGTGCCCAGCCTGACAGTTAACCGCGTTGGGTTTTAGATGGGTTGGGGTGGGTGAGGGGGGAAGAAGGGGAAGCGAAAGAATAGGGCGTTGAGGTATCCACCAACGGCTATGGGGAAAGCAAACTCCGTTGGGAACACTGGTAGCGTGCCCAGCGTGACCGGGGGTGTTGGTTGGTGAAGGGAGGGGGGGGGGGGAGAGTTTGGATGGGGTGGGAGGAGGAAAGGTGTGGGAATCAAGGGGAAAAAGGGGAAGAAAAGGAATCTGGGATCCATGAAACACTGATAAAGCAAGCCCGCCAGAGCTCATCGAGCCAGTTTTCAATCGGCGATCCGCTCAGCAGCAGGCGGTGCGGCGTGCGCAGCTGCTTGCATGCACCCAGGAAGGAGGCCTAGATAATGTACTCACAGGAGGGTCACGAAACACTGTTGGAACATATTTGCCAGGGTAAACAAAGTCCATGAGAGACCAGAGCTCGTCCAGGCCGGTTTTGAATCAGCAACCCGCTCAGCAGCAGGTGGTTCTGCGTGCGCAGCTGCTTGCATGCACCCAGGAGCCGATTTTTGAGTCGACTCAAAAGCTGCTTGCATGCACCCAGGAGCCCCGGGAATGAATTAACAAGGGGTTAATGGAAGTGGGGTACACACATACCTTCCCGGGGAATTGAGACGTCTTTTGAGACGTCTCAAAAGTCATACCTTCCCGGGTATTGAGACTTCTTTTGAGGCGTCTCAAAAGTCATACCTTCCTGGGTAGACAAAGTCCATGAGTGACCACAGCTCATCGAGCCGGTTTTGAATCGGAGACCCGCTGAGCAGCAGGCGGTGCGGCGTGCGCAGCTGCTTGCATGCAATCGTGGTGTCTGCATCTGGGTTCCTGATCCGATGGCCCTCGTCGAGAATCGCATACCCCCAATCAACGGCCAGGAATAGCTCTCGCCGCAACCGAACCTGCTCGTATGTGGTGATGACGAGGCTGTTGCCTCGGGCCGAACCTGACGCTGCTGGTATGGGGACCATAGCGAGGGCTGTTAGGGGCGAGTCTGGGTGTGATTCTAACGAGGATTTCTTAGGCAGAGTCACTCCAACAGCGGATTCAAGAGCTTTCCTCCATTTCTCGTAGACTAGATGTTGCCGGTTGATACTGCTCTTGCTTCCACTCTTTTTCAGTCCACCGCTGTTGCCCTGACAGCCTTTGCCCCCACAGCCCTTGCCCCCACTACCCTTTTTCCCATTGCCTTTCGCCCCACTGCCCTTGCTCTGCCCTCTTCCCTTGCTGCTTCTTTTTCTTGTTCCACCTCCTTCCTCCTCCTCCTCCTCGTCTTCTTGCTTCAAAAAGTCCCCCCCGTTCCTCCACTTCCCATTCTTTCTCCTCTTCCTCCTCCTCCCCTCCTCTCTCGTGCAGCTCTCATTCTCGACCCAGCCGCCATTCTCTGTAACAAAGCATCCACCCTTTCTCCCTTCTCGTCCTCCCCCTTCTCCCTTCCCTCATCCTCTCCCTCACACTCCAAATCCTCCTCCTCCTCGTCCTCTTCCTCGTCCTCCTTCCCTTCATCCCATTCTGACTCTTCAGTCTCGTCTCCAGACTCCCATTCCTCCTCTTCTCCCCTCCTTCCCTTCTTCCTTCCCCTCCCCTTCTTCCCCTTCTGCTTCTTCTTCCCTCCTTTCCTCCCACCTCCCCCTTCCCCCTCTTCCTCTCCCCCCTCCCCCTCCTCCTCCGCCTCCTCCCCATCCGCCCCCCCCTTTCCCCCAGAGTCATGCAAAATCACCGGATTAAGCTCGGGACACCACACCCGAACCTCCCTCTGCCACTGCCGAAGCAGCGTGACGGGGCAGACCAGCAGGCTCGGGCGGTACAGCCCCGAATGTAGCAGCGAGGCTAGGAACGCAGCCACCTGCACAGTCTTTCCCAGACCCATCTCGTCCCCTAATATCCCCCCTACCTCCTGACAATGCAACTCCCACAACCACTTAACACCTGTTCTTTGATACTCAAACAGCTTATTATACACTGAACCTGGTATACGCAGACCCCCCTCTAGAATCACATCATCACTATCAACATCAATGTCATCATTATCATCTACAACATCACCACCGTCATCATAATAATCATCATCAGACGCACCACCAGCATCAGCATCATCCACATCAGCATCCACATCAGCATCCACATCAGCATCCACATCAGCATCCACGTCAGCATCATCCACATCAGCATCCCAGCTCTCCATCTTCCCTTCTCCTCCCCCACCCTCCACCCCACCCACACCTACCATCTTATCCCCCTTCCCTTCTCTCCACGCCTTACCTGGCAGCGGCCTCCTCACAACCCTCCTCCTCTTCCTCCTCTCCCCCCCACCTCCTCTCCCTCCTTCCTCCGCTCCCCTCTTCCTCCCTCCTAATATCTTCGCAAACTCCTTTAAAGGCTCTGGGGCCTTAGGGACCTCATCCAACCCAAGAAGCTTAGTCTGCCTCTTGCCCCACATCCCCCCAACCCCTTGCCCTAATCCCGCCCCTTCTCCCTCTCCCCCACCTCCTCCTCTGTTCCCAATACCCCCATGTTCGTTTTCCTCTCCCTCCCTCTCGTCCCTCTTCTCTATCTCCCCACCCCTGCTGCTTCCTTCCCCAAGCTGTGTCTTATGGGTGGGACCTGACTGAACGGCCTTGTCAAAGCCCTTGAGCTGTGCGAAAGGTGTGATAAGACCCAGGCGAATGAGCCGATCCCGCTCCTGAAGCACGTGGGAGGGTGGTGGGAAAGAACGGTAGGAGACTGAACAGCCTTGTCAAAGCCCTTGAGCTGTGCGAAAGGTGTGATAAGACTCAGACGAATGAGCCGATCCAGCCCCTGAAGCAAGGGATCGGGATGTCACCGGGGGAAAAGAGGAATGGGGGGGGGGGGGGTTGGGACAGAATGGAAGGAGACTGAACAGCCTAGTCAAAGCCCTTGAGCTGTGCAAAAGGCGTGACAAGACCCAGGCGAGTGAGCCTATCCCGCTTCTGAAGCAAGGGATCGGGATGTCCGCGGGGGCAAGGGGGACGGGGGGGGTGAGGGGGGTTGGGAAAGAAACGCAGGAGACTGAACAGCCTTGTCAAAGCCCTTGAGCTGTGCGAAAGGTGTGATAAGACCCAGACAAATAAGCCGATCCCGCTTCTGAAGGTTGAGAAAAGAGATGAGATGTGAGAATTGAGAGGGAAGCGATGCACACGATAAGGAAAGCAGGTGTCAAAAGGGAAAGAAGAAGGGGGGACATACCGTTTCCACGAATCCAGTTGCAGCAGCGCCATCCAGCGCCGAATCAAAATCATCCACGTCATCCATCAGCAGTGGTGCCTCCACCTTCCCCTTCCCTTTCCCCTTCCCCTTCCCCTCATCCTCCCTCGCGCCCTTCCCCTCTCCTCTTCCACTCTGACCAGTTCTCCACTCTCCACCACTATGCGCCTTACCCTTACCCTTCGCTTTCCCCACAACCCTTCCACCTTCCCATCCCCCAACCAAATCCCGACCCCTCCCCTCTCCCTTTCCTCCTCTACCTCCTCTTGCCTCTCCCTCTCCGCCACCAGCCAACCTCCCCTCCGGCCCAGCCTCCCCCAGGTGAGCCTCCCCCAGCTGAGCCTGCAGCTGCCTGCGCAGCTTCAGGAGGCTCCTCACGCGCTCCTCAGTCAGTGCCAGCTGGAGGTTCCTAGCAGGGCTGTCCGCCTGTGAGATCTTGCCAGTCCCGTTCGACTGTAGGTTTAGGTTCCTCTCAGTGCCATCCGCCTGGCTGCCAGTTATTTTGAGTGCGACACGGTCCCGGTGCCCTTCCACAATAGTAGCAATATCAGCACCCTTCTCCTTCTCACCCTCACCATCACCTTCACCCTCGCCCGTGTCCTTGCTCTTCTTCTTCTCCCTCGTTTCATTGTCATTCCTTCCGACCCTTCCGATGCTGCTGTCAGAAGTTCCAAACCGGGTAACCTTCAAATTCCTCCCCTTCGCTGCTTTTCCTGCTCCAGACCCTCTCCCAAGCCCTCTCCCGCTCACACCTCTATCCGTGTCCGCTGCTCCGCTTTCCCCACCTTTCAGAGCCACAAGAGCATCCCCCAGCGCGTTCAACTCCCTCTCCACTGCCCGCAGCTGCTGCTGCAACCTACCCGTTTGCACCGGTGGCATGATTTTTCTACCGTGTGACGCTTCACTGGTGAAATCGGATGCTATAACGGCCGAATCTGACGGCTGTACGGTCAATTCTGACGCCTGAGCAGTCAAACCTGACGGGTGAATGGTTGGATCAGAGGACTGAACGGCCAATTCTGCCACCTTAACGGTCGAATTTGACTGCTGAATGGCTGAATCTGACGGCTGAACGGGTAATTCTGCCGCCTTAACCGTCAAATCTGACGGCTGCGCAAGTGGTTCTGATGTCTGAACAATTGATTGGACGGAGTGATCAAGAGCAACATCCATCCTTCGCGTACTATCATCTCCGCCTGGATCTACAATATGTTCCACCTTCAACGTCTGCTGCTGCTGCTGCTGCTGCTGCTGCTGTTCCTGCTGCTGCTCATTCCTATGTTCCTGCTCTTGCTCCTGCTGCTCCTCATCCTCTGTCTCCTCCTCCTGATCCTCCATCTTCTCCTCCTCCTCAGCCTTGATAGCTGAGTCTCTCCACGGTGAAACTTCCAACGTTTCGTCGCCTTCCTTCACTTCGCCGTCATCCACTCCTGCCATTTCGTCGGCGGCACTTTCACTGGTTGATCCAGCTTTATTTTCGAGGGTTGGTGCACTGTCAATTATGCGGGATCTGCGTACTTGGGCAGAAAAAACAGCAGATTTTCAGTTCAGCACACACCGCGCGGGAGTCCTTCAGTTTCACCCCACAGACGACGATTGCTGGAGCCTTGTGCCTGTTATGCCACGGTGAAGCGTCGAGGTCACGCTTTTCTGATGATGAATTCACACAGAACTCTTTTGAAACGTGGCTCCTTGGTTTCCTCTGACTCTTCCCTTGGGACTTCCTGCCGCCTCCCAATACCATTCGCCTCGTGTCCAACCTGAATATTGACTTCCACACCTGATTGCCAGAGCGGAAAAATTCCCGTTCTCTTCTGTGTCGAACCTAAAATTTGTTTGCCGGGGCTCTCGCTCCCGTATGCGACGGTCCGTTCGGGGCTTGCCTAGCTGCGATTGGTGGAGTAATCGAGAACCCTAGGTTGCTTCGGCAGCGGTCTAGTTTGCCAGATCGATGACTGCCGAGCCTGCATGTTTTGGTTTGGGTTATTTCTGTGGAACGTTCGGGACGGACCAGAATGTTACCTTCGTTTATTTTGTTTGGGCAGGGTAACAAGCGAACACCATTTGGGAGGGTATATCGAGGCAAACAAACTGATGTCAAGTCACCCAAAACGAAAAAAACTTTACCCAACTAAACTCCGTTGTACCACGGGGAAACAGCAGATCCTGTAAGGAACCGCTCTACACCGCACATCGAGCTAAAACAACTGGACTTCTCAACAACTCGTGTGAGAACAGGGGTAAGGCCGCCAGAGCCATAAGGGTTATGACGTTGTTACAGCATCATCACTTGTCACTGGGAGCTTGCGTGACTCAGAATCAACCTTAGCACTGCAGGATCTCTCGCAATGGCTGGTCATGGTAGTATCAGCCTTCAAGCGAGGCTCAGACGACTTCAGACTCTTCCAGGAAACAAGGAGTGTGCTGATTGTGGGTGTAAAAATCCTCAATGGAGCTCCGTTACCTACGGAATCTTTCTTTGCCTCGAGTGCTCTGGAGTTCATCGTAGCTTGGGTGTGCACATAAGTTTTGTCAGGTCTGTTGGCATGGATTCTTGGAGTTCAAATCAAGTGACGCGAATGGAGGTAAGCACATTCGTTGATCGTGTATCCTTGATATTTATCGGCTTAGGACTTCACAAACCTTGCGTTTGCAGAATGGGGGAAATTCAGCGTGGAAAAGGTTTCTGGATCAATACCAGGGCGAACACGGAATGAGTGATCAAACTGAACTCTATCAATCTCAAGTAGCTTCATTGTACCGAGAGAAGATAGACGCACTGGTTGCTGGACGCGAGTGGATTTCTCCTCCATTGCCTCTACGCCAGCGGATTGTAAGTGTTTTTATGAGACATCGACTGAAATCGTATGCCTCTAGACAACGTTTGATTCATTAGTCTCATCATGAACCACATTGTTCCACAGGCTCCTTCATCCAGCTCCACGAGTACGCTTCAGGAGAGAACAAAGTCTCTTAACATTTCCGCAATAAACCACTGGGACGACTGGGGAGAAGGCTGGACGACAGCGCAGGCATGATATGATAGATATTTGTTTTCCACTGACCAGGATGTACCATCCCAGTCAGGTGCTTGTTGGATGAAAGAATAATCACTTTGATACAGCAAACTCCAAATGCACAATAATTCCTTCTGAACATGCCTACTTAACATGCCTCAGCTTTCGAGCATTACTGCTCCGCAACGGTCATCTCAGAGAACCGTGGGCCGAGTGGAGTTAAAATCATAAATCTTCCAGTACAGAACTGCACAGCCCTTCCAGATCGCCTGGTTGTAGGTTAATATTGACATCTAGGTCGAGGCGATGGCCTCACGAGTTAGCGCCAACGGTACCCCAACCCTCACCCCAGTCATCCCAACTTTGCGAGGCGACAGCTCGTGCGGGAGGGGCGGTACATCTTCTGCTGGTTCTCGAAGCGGCGGACGAGGTTCGGGACGCAGCTGGAAGGGTAGAGCGCGCCTGTAGCATCAAACACCAAGAGAAAATGAATAGCATTATTAGCAGACTGATCGGCTGAAGTCCAGGAGAGGGATTACTTGACAATGAAGAGCAGAACAAAGGATGAAAGCAAATGCGGAGGGGAAGATTAATATGATTATTGGAGGAAAGGGGAATTTTGTTTTAGGTAGGAATGCTCACCACCGTCTTTTGCTTGGGCGTCAGTCCAGGAGGAGGGGTCCACGCTCGACCAGCCACAAGCACATCGAGCTTTTCTCGGTAGTACTGCGCAGCAGGCGACGCGTATTTCTTCGCTATTGTCGCCGTCTCCGTCGCATCGGCATATCGGTCAAGGAAATCGTTCCAGGCGGAATTTCCTCCAACCTCCATCCGCTTCAGCTGGGAATCGCTCCACGAGTCCATGATGACGGAGCGGACGAAGCTGAGGTGGACGCCGAGGCTGCGGTGCGTGCCGGAGCACTCAAGGCAGAAGAAGATGCCATAAGTCACCGAGGCCCACTGCGGGTTCTTGCACCCGCAGTCCGCGCAGGCTTGGTTGCTGGCAATCGACTGCACCTTTCGTAGCCGGGCTTGCATCATGGGTGTCGCCATTGCGGACGTACAAGGAAACGTGCTAGGGTTGGTGAGAGGTTCCGGTTTAGGAGTGAATAACAGTTACAAGCGCGTGTTCGGTGCTCGACCTAGAACGGCGGTTGAGTAATCTCTACTGACTGACGTAGTGCAGGTCTTAGGATTGATTGACAAAAGTACGGAGACCATTCAGGGCTGTGTTGCGTGATAAGTAAGGTCACTCCAGTCGCCAAGACGTCAGTTCGATTGTGAAAGTTTGGATAGAGATGATACTACTGGCAAACACTCTAACGTCTCAGCCAGGAGCTCCGAACGAATGGAATAGAAGATCAATAGAAGAGCAATGCAATCAAAACTACGGCTAGGATGGTACGAATGACCAGTCACGCTGTCACAAATAATTGAGGGCAATGGATCAGGCCACAAGCAAACATCGTTCTGAGGGGAGAGAGCGGAGCGGATGGCCCGAGAAAAGGGGGATGGGCAACCGACCGAAGGCGGGAGAGGAGTGCGCGCCGCTCCAATAATTTCGTGCTGGGAGATGGATGGGGGAGTGAAAGAAAGCGGGCGTGATTTTGCCAAAAACAGGCGGGGAAGATTTTGGGGGGAAGAGAGGAACTGCAATGGGGTGGGGAGGATTCCAAACTTCCCCGGTCGACCTCTCGGTGGCTGGCGGCGATCCCTAGCCCCCACGACCGAATTTGGGGTGGCGCACTTGGGGTGGCGGTGGTTGTGGTTTGGCTCTGCGGGGTTGTTCGTGGCCCCGTCGGTTGACTGGTGCGAAATAATGCACTCGGGGGAAAAAAGGGCCTGCGCAAAGTTGAGAAACACGTAGAATTCAAACATCGGCTGGGGGGCAAGTGAAGGGGTGGGGGAGTGCGGATGGCGGAGAACAGGCGGGACGGGTAAGAAGCGGAGGGAGTCGCAGGGGAGATCAGGAGGGTAGCCTGCGCTGGGCCGGAAACGTCCTCTCCACGATGGTAGGTGAGTGGAACCGCATGCGACACGGCATGACCTTGGGAGATTCGACGTAGAAGACACGTGGGCCAACAATGTACAGGTGGTGGCGATGCTTTTCGCGACATGTGCTCACGGTTGCCGTCGCGAGTGTCGCAACAGTTGGACGATTCAGATCTCGTGAACAAAATAATCGATGGCTCGATGCAGTCGCTCGAGCACGTCCACGACCCGCTGGTAAATCTGCAAGACGACGTCTTCCAAGTTCGCAGCGCGTAGTTTCCGAACCATCGACTCCGCACGTCGGATGAAGGTGGAGAAAACGCGGTGCGAAAGCCTAGAAATTGGCCCGTTTGCCTTTCGCGACACTGTAGCGGGGATTTGGAGAGACTCGAACCCTGCTGTGGATTGGTTGGTGAATATTTGCTGTCAGCCGTGCCAGCAGAGCCTCACCTGATGACACCTGAAAACAGTTACACCATTGCACTGTGCATGGCAGCACATCATCGCACAATCCGTTCGCTATTGTCACACAGCATAATGCCGCTTCGTTGTGAGATGTGACTGGTTTGACTGAACCTCACGCGGTGGCCGTCCATGACCGCCCGAGAGCATCCCCACGCCGAGCCTAGACCTTGACGGTCACCGTCACCGACTACACCGAGCGTCGTTGGCGAGATTTGACCATCTCGTTGGGATTTGTTGCACACCTCAAAAACAGGCTTGCAATTTATGGCTGCCACAGATATCATCACCATTCTCATTAACAGCAAGTACAATATCTATCACCATTCACTAAAAAAAAGCATGTGATGTGATGCTATACAGTTGGTAAAAGATATGTGTTCCACTGCCTAATCAAGCAGCTTATGCGGCAACTGGGGCGGCGTTAAGGGCCTTGAGGGGGTTGGTGATAACAGCATCAATCAAGCCATACTCCTTGGCCTCTGTTGCACTCATGAAGAAATCGCGATCCGTGTCCTGTTGAAGCACGGGCAAGAGAGGATGAGAATGCATGGGCAAGAGAGCATGGGAGAATAAGCAAGAGAGCATGGGAGAATAAGCAAGAGAGCATGGGAGAACCTAGAGTGCAAACTACCGCTGACCTGAATCTCAATCCTCAATGCGCCACTGCACACCCTCACCTTCCAACTGCTGCTCTGCTTCCACAGTACCTCACTCTCACCTGAACGATCTGGTCGTAGGATTGGCCGGTGTGGTACGCCAGGTAGCCGTTCAGGTTTGCCTTGTGGTGCAGAATCCCGTTTGCCTGAATCTCAATGTCCACCCTTCCACTGCTACTCTTCTTCCACACCACCTCCCTCTCACCTGAACGATTTGGTCGTAGGATTGGCCGGAGTGGCACGCCAGGTAACCATTAACTCAATGCCCCAATTCCTACCTTCCAAATGCTACCCTCTGATTCCACACCACTACCCCCTTACCTGAACGATCTGGTCGTAGGATTGACCGGTGTGGTACGCCAGGTAGCCGTTCAGGTTCGCCTTGTGGTGCAGAATCTCGTTTGCCTGAATCTCAATGTCCGTCTGCTGCCCCTGCGCTCCTCCCAGCGGCTGATGAATCATAATACGGCTGTTAGGCAGGCTGTAGCGCTTCCCTGGTAGAAGGGGGGGGGGGAAGAAGGGGGAGGGGGGGGTGGGAGAAGGGGGAAGGGGGGGGGGGGAGAAGGGGGAGGGGGGGGGGAAGAAGGGGGGGGTGGAAGGGGGGGGGGGGGGGGGGGGGGTAGAACAGGGTTGTGAGAGAGTATGAGATGGAAATACATGGGATGGGGGGGAATCATGGAATATACACCTACGCCCCTCCCAGCGGCTGATGGATTATAATGGGCTGTTGGACAGGCTGTAGCGCTTGCCTGAGAGGGTGAGGCGGGGAGAGCATTAAGGGGAGGGAGGGATGCACTGACGCTAAATGATGAGAGGTAACGGGTAAAATTGGAACATGCAGATTCTGGAGCGGTATATTAGCAAGGTATAAGACCGCAGAGAAGCGAAGAAAAAACACACCTTTTGTTCCTGCTGACAGGAGGAAGGCGCCCATACTGCATCAACAAGCAGAGCAAGCAAGCACAGCGCATGGACAACAGAGACAGAGTGGATTAGGAAAAAGGCCGGATACCAAAAGGAGGGAAACACGTGCTTTTGTAAGTACGCGACTCTGTAACATTGCTGACCTGGCAGCAAGGCCGACACACACGGTGCTGACGTCAGGCCGGATGTGGCGCATGGTGTCAAAGATGGCCATGCCTGAGAGGGGGGAAGGGGAGGAGAGAAGGGGGGAAGGAGGATAGGGGGGGAGAGGGAGGGGGTGGGGGGGGAGTTGAGGCGCTCAAGACTCGGATGTGACGCATGGAGTCGAAGGGTTTGGGGGCACGGTATCAAAGGGGCTTCATGTTCGTATCATCTCCCTGCTCGTATCATCTCCCTGCTCGTATCATCTCCCTGCTCGTATCATCTCCCTGCTCGTATCATCTCCCTGTTCGTATCATCTCCCTGCTCGTATCATCTCCCTGTTTGTATCATCTCCCTGCTCGTATCATTTCCCTGTTCGTATCATCTCCCTGCTCGTATCATCTCCCTGCTCGTATCATCTCCCTGCTTGTATCATCGCTCGTATCATCTCATGCCCCTCAAGAGTTGCAGTCCCGCCGACTGCAGCAAGTGCATGGTCGAATCTCCTATCCACCACTTGCCACTATCCCCGCCCTCCCTTCTCTCGACCACTCCTCCCTCCCACTCACCCGCTTCCCACTCTCCACTGCTCCCTCCCCACTCACCACTCGACCCGCTTCCCTCTCCCCACTAGCGCTAACCCCAGAACTCACCAGCAGTCACAGAGCCACCAGGCGAGTTGACGTACATAATGATGTCCTGTGGTGGGGGGAGGGAGAGGGCAGAGAAGAGGGGTGGATGGGAGGGGATTAAGGGTAGACGCGGCGGCAAGCAGTCACAGAGCCACCAGGTGAGTTGACGTACATAATGATGTCCTGTGGTGGGGGGAGGGAGAGGGCAGAGAAGAGGGGTGGATGGGAGGGGATTAAGGGTAGACGCGGCGGCAAGCAGTCACAGAGCCACCAGGCGAGTTGACGTACATAATGATGTCCTGTGGTGGAGGGTGGGGAGGTGTGGGGAGAGGAGGGGGGAGGGCGAGGGTTGTGAGAGGAAGCTGGGAGAGGCTTGAGTGATGAGGCGGAAAGAGAACGGAAGTAGACGGACGAGTACGATCCGATCATGCCCGTCGGATCATCTAATTCAAGGGCGAAAATGGGAAAGGTGGGGAGGGGGGGCGGGGGGAGGAAGGAGAGAGGGTGGGGGGGAGGAGCAGAGAAGGGTCGAGTGGGGAGAGGGAACGAGTGAAGACATACGCCTCAAAAGACGTGAGGCTTTCGGGGGATGCATGGAGAAGCTGCGATAAACTCCCTCGTGGGATCAACGGCTGGGATTGGCTCACCTTGGTGGGATCAACGGCGTCGAGGTAGAGCAGCTGCGCCACGATGAGGTTCGCCATATCGTCGTCCACCGCGCCGCCGCACCGGATGATGCGCTGATGGGGGGCGGGGAGAGGGGGTGGGGGGGAAAGGGGGAAGGCGAGTCGGCGGAGGGCCAAGGGGAAGGGGGGACGTGTGAGGTGAGAAGGGGGTTGCCACGATGAGGTTCGCCATATCGTCGTCCACCGCGCCGCCGCACCGGATGATGCGCTGAAGGGGATGAGGAGGGGTGGAACAGGGGCGTATACGGGTCAAGGGGAAGGGGGGCGTGTGGGGGGGATGATGGGGTGAATGGTGAGGGGCTTGCCACGATGAGGTTCGCCATGTCGTCGTCCGCCATTCCGCCGCACCGGATGATGCGCTGGAGGGAGCGGGGTGGGGGGGAAAGGGGGGAAGGCGAGGCGGCGGAGGGCCAAGGGGAAGGGGGGACGCGTGAGGTGAGATGGGGGGTGTGTCGATGAGGTTCGCCATGTCGTCGCCCACCATTCCGCCGCACCGGATGATGCGCTGGAGAGAGCGGGGTGGGGGGGATTGTGGGTGTGCGGAGAGAAGGGGGGAAGGGATGAGGTGGGGGGAAACAGGGAGGTAACGGGGTTACGGGGTTTAAGGGGCTATGTATGAGAGAGTAACTGGGAGATAACGAACAATTGGATACTGTCGCATCGCAACCCGCCTGAAACCCACGAAACACTCGGGACGAACTAAGCCATCTGCCCGACTGAACCGCACATACGTTTTGGAAGAGCTGGGAGATGACCGACTGGAACCGCTCCTGCAGCATGGGGGGAGGCGCTCCTTGCCCCGCCATCACCTCCGGTGCGCCCATGAACAGACTGTGCGGCACTTCCAGATCGTTCCTGGGGTGGTTAGGGAAGGCGGGAGGGGAGGGCAATGCGCGGTGCGCGGAAGGTTGAGTTTTTTTTGAAAGGGAGAGGGGGTGGTAGGGAGGGAGTAGGGAAGAAGGAAGGGGATGAGAGGATGAGGGGGGAGCGGAAGGCAGGAAAAAAATCCAGACTCCGTTTTCCTCGCGGGGACTCACTTGATGGACCAGATATCGCCGCTGTTCGCGGCGGAATTCGGGGTCCAAAGGCGCTCCGAGCGGACGGCGCTGCAGCGCACACCGGTAGCGGATGCGCGGCTGAGGCAGGGGAGAACACGCGGAGAAAGGAAACACATCGCGGAGAATTTAGGAGGCGGGGGAAAGGGGAGAAGGGGGAAGGGAAGGGAAGGGGAAGGGGATGGGGGAGTGGGAGGACAGGGAGTGGAGATGAGGCGAGATGGGGAGGGGATAAGTGGGTAACGACGAAAAGAGGGATTGAAAGGAGGAAGAAGGACGATCGGCAAGCCAGTTAAAATCGATCGCTACAGTCGATTCTCGATACATAATCTGGTCGTTTAACAGGCAACGCACAAGATCGATAAGCATCGATTGCCTTCGGCAAGCTTAGTTCAAACCATATCGGAAAACCTTAAAGAAATCGCCATATCGGACGTGAGATGTCGAAGGTCTGATGAATCCCTCCCTACCCCAGTACGTACTACGCAGGCCGCACAGACTAGACGAAAGAGTCTTCTGGCAACAGTGATTGCTACGCGTTTCGCATCAAGAATGAATCACAAAGTATGCACTGTAAGCTAACATTTTTAAGCTAGCGGGTCCTGTATACTACACCGGAAACTTCTAGAACAACGCCTGCTTACGCTAGCGAGACTCTACAATACCTTATTCAGAAACAACGGACTGTAAGCCTCTCTGAACTAGCACCTCATTGCACGACCTCGTAACACTACATCGGTACTACCTCGTTGGTACTTCGGTGACACTACCTGGGCACGGCCATCTGTAGTCTCTTGTGCTGGCTCGCCTTCAGGCTCGTGCTACCCACGAAGGCTGACGGCTTCACAGCCGCTGCCGTCTGCATCGTAACGGCCGACATGGTCTTTGCCGGCTGATCGGTTATTAGACGACGGCTGATCTTCCGTGCAACGACGATTTCTGGGACGATCGCGGTAGAGACTAATTCCAAGAAACAATTACCACAGGCTAGGAGGAAAGCTAGCCTCAAGGAAACTATTTCTAAGAATTTCCGAGTTCTAGGGTTCCAAGTAGGAACTTACAGAAAGTGCAGATAAATCTATATTTCCTACACCTCCGTACAACAGCAAATGCTGACCGTTGGATAAATGAATATCCGAATCGACCCTTGGGAACTTTGGGTTCTTGAAGCGGGGCATACAGAAGGTTGTGTGTGACAGTGGCGCAGAAGGGGAATCTAGACAGCAGAGGTGGAAAGGGGAACATCATAGGTGATGAGGCGACGTGGCGAATAGAGTCTGAGCGCGCAGCGAATAACGCTACGCCACGCTGGCGCGGATGTGACGGCTGTCGTGTTCAGCTCTACCTGCAGATGCAAAAACAGCTGTAGAGTACACTGACGAAATGAATGTTCAACCAAACAAAACGCTTTGATATACCACCATTTACAGAAATGATCGCTTCTTACTTCACATCCTTGGAACTGTTCTTTTCATACACACCATCCTTCCCTCTCACCCACACTTCTCCTCTATGCTCCATCACATCCAAATCCGCACTCTCTCGCACATAACCCCCCTCCTTCCTTCTAAAATAATGCTCGCGCAAAATTGGTTCCTTCCCTCTGTTCAAATCACGCCTCCTCCTCGAAGGACCTTCCTCCTGCACGCCCTTCTTTTCCGAACGTGCAATCCTGTTCGAGCCAGCAATATCCGACCCATGAAAATCTCCTCCACTCCACTTTTCTTCCGCCACTTTCCCCGCCCCATCCCTCAAATCACCCCGCTTCGCTCGTCTTCCCTCCTCCCTCCACCCATCCTGCACCTCCCAATTTGTCAAGTCACCCTGACTCAACTCTCTCATCTCTCCTCCCACCTTCCATCGTGCATCACTGCCTCTCCTCCCCCTCTCCCATCCATACCTCTCCACTTCCTCCACAGGTCCAGCCTCCCCTACATCCTCCCCGGCATCCAACCGGCCAGTTCTACCTCCCCCAGAAGCCTCCACCTCCCACCGCCCATTTCTCCTGAATACTCTGTCCATACTTGTGTCCATTGCTGAATCCGGCACCTCCCTTCCTGCTGTAGCCCTTCCTCCTGCCACAGCCCTACCATCTGCTACAGCCCTATCTTCTGTTACATTCCCCTCCCCTGATACAACCCTATCTTTTGCCACAGCCCTCTCCCCTACTGCAGCCCTGCCTTCAGCTGCTGTCCTTTCTCCTGATGTAGCCCAGCTTTCTGCCACACCCTCCTTTCTTGATACAACCCTGTCTTTTGCTACAGCCCTCTCTCCTACTAGACCCCTGCCTTCAGCTGCTGTCCTTTCTCCTGATACTGCCCTGCTTTCTGCCACAACCTCCTCTCTTGACACAGCCCTGTTTACTACCACAGCGCCCTCTCCTGCTTCTATGGGTTGTGGCGTATCTCTCACTGACAGAGGAATATGGGCAGCAGGGGCAGCAGGGGCAGCAGGAAGAGCAGGAGCAGCAGGGGCAATTGAGGTGTGTGCCATGTGCTCTCGCTTGTCCCCATTGACAATGGCAGCAAGCGGAGGAGGGGCAACAGCGATAGCAGACGCAGCAGAAACAGCAGGAGGAGCAGGAGCAGCAGACGCAGCAGAAACAGCAGGAGGAGCAAGAGCAGCAGAGGCCGCAGGAGCAGCAGAGGCCGCAGGGGCAGCAGAGGCCGCAGGGGCAGCAGGAGCAGCAGGGGCAATCGAGCTGTGTGCCATGCTCCCTCTCTTGTCCTCAGCAAAAGCGGTGGCAGGCAGAGGGACAACAGGAGCAGGGACAGCTGTAGCAGCGGTAGCTGTAGCAGGGACAGCTGTAGCAGCGGTAGCTGTAGCAGGGACAGCTGTAGCAGCGGTAGCTGTAGCAGGGACAGCTGTAGCAGCGGTAGCTGTAGCAGGGACAGCTGTAGCAGCGGTAGCTGTAGCAGGGACAGCTGTAGCAGCGGTAGCTGTAGCAGGGACAGCTGTAGCAGCGGTAGCTGTAGCAGGGACAGCTGTAGCAGCGGTAGCTGTAGCAGGGACAGCTGTAGCAGCGGTAGCTGTAGCAGGGACAGCTGTAGCAGCGGTAGCTGTAGCAGGGACAGCTGTAGCAGCGGTAGCTGTAGCAGGGACAGCTGTAGCAGCGGTAGCTGTAGCAGGGACAGCTGTAGCAGCGGTAGCTGTAGCAGGGACAGCTGTAGCAGCGGTAGCTGTAGCAGGGACAGCTGTAGCAGCGGTAGCTGTAGCAGGGACAGCTGTAGCAGCGGTAGCTGTAGCAGGGACAGCTGTAGCAGCGGTAGCTGTAGCAGGGACAGCTGTAGCAGCGGTAGCTGTAGCAGGGACAGCTGTAGCAGCGGTAGCTGTAGCAGGGACAGCTGTAGCAGCGGTAGCTGTAGCAGGGACAGCTGTAGCAGCGGTAGCTGTAGCAGGGACAGCTGTAGCAGCGGTAGCTGTAGCAGGGACAGCTGTAGCAGCGGTAGCTGTAGCAGGGACAGCTGTAGCAGCGGTAGCTGTAGCAGGGACAGCTGTAGCAGCGGTAGCTGTAGCAGGGACAGCTGTAGCAGCGGTAGCTGTAGCAGGGACAGCTGTAGCAGCGGTAGCTGTAGCAGGGGCAGTTGTAGCAGAGGCAACTGTAGCAGGAGCCGTTGGAGCATGGGCAGCTGTAGCAGGGGCAATTGCAGCAGGAGCCGTTGCAGCAGAAGCCGTTGGAGCATGGACAGCTGTAGTGGGACCAGAGCCAGAAGCAGCCTTTTGAGGCGCCTCAAAAGCTGTAGCAGCAGGGGCAGTTGCAGTAGGAACCGTTGGAGCATGGGCAGCTGTAGTGGGACCAGAGTCAGAACCAACAGAAGCAGCAGCAGCGGCTGATAGAGCAGAGGCAATTCGAGCCATGGCCACTGCAGCAAAGAGAGCAGTTGCAGCTGCTGCTACCTCCTTCCCTGCAAACACTGCTGCCTCCTTGCTCGATGCTGCTGCTGCTTCCTCCTCTGCTGCCTCCTTGCTCAATGCTCCTGCTGCAGCCTCTGCTGCTGCCTCCTCTGCTGCTTCCTCCTCTGCTGCCTCCTCCTCTGCTGCCTCCTTGCTCGATGCTCCTGCTGCTGCCTCCTCTGCTGCTTCCTTGCTACCGATTCCAGTTTCCACTGTCGCCACATTAGCAGCACCACCAACACCAGCAGAAGAAGCAGCATCACCATCATCATCAGCAGCACCACCTGCAGCAGCAGCAGCAGCAAAATCAACATTACTGCGTGTCACATCTATGGAACCCTCCATTGCTCCCCCAATCGCCCTGTTTGGATTGATTTCCTCATTTACTGCTGCTGCTGCTGCTGCTGCTGCTGCTGCTTTTGCTGCTTCTGCTTCTTCTGCCGCCTCACTTTCTGATCCTGTTGCTTCTCCTGCCATTGTGTCTGCTGTTGCTGCCATTGCTTCTTCCTCTTCCGCTGCTGCTGCATGTTGTGTTACTGCTGCTGTCCTCCGTTGCTTCTCAGCTTCTGAAGCTGCATCATCCTTCTCCCTGCCCAACTCTCTCCCTTCTCCTAAAATCTCCTCATGTTCCCTTCTACCCAAACGATCTTCCACACTCTCCCCTTCATTCAACCCGATTCTATCATCTAGCAGACTTCCCCTCCTTAATCCTTCTCCCTCACCATCTCCCTTCCCATCCCCCTCACCCTCTCCCTTCCCTTCTCCCTCGCCCTCTCCCTTCCCTTCTCCCTCCCCCTCTCCCTTCACATCTACCACACCCTCTCCCCGCATTTCTCCCACACCCTCTCCCTTCCCATCTCCCTCCCTCTCTCCCGCCCCTTCCCCCTCACCCTCTCCCTTCCCATCTCCCCCCGTGTGCATGAGTGCAGATGAAAACCCCTCTCCCTCGCCCTTCCCCGCGTGTGTCTTTTCCAGCACCACCATATCACTCCAAGGACCAGCAACCGCACTGGATGCCTCAGAACCACTGGCTGGAAGAGCTAGGGCACTGTCATAACCACCACTAGCTGTCATTGGCAGTGTCAGATCAGTCACGGGGCTGCTCCAGCTGATATCCGATAAGGTATCATCAGCTGCTGCAGAGTCTGCTCCCGTCACTCGGGATGCTGCATCCTCTGCCGTATTTTTCCCTGCAACGTCTCCTGCTGCTGCAAGGTCTGCTGCATTGACAGCAGCAGCTGCAGCAGCAGCAGCAGCAGCAGCAGCACCACCACCACCAGCACCAGCAGCAGCAGCAGGAGTAAGAGCAACATCAAGTGCAGCACCATCGGCAGCTTTGGCAGCATTTGCAGCAATACCAGTACTAACAGCAGTAGCACCACCAGTAGCACTCGCAACCTTAGCAGCACTACCAGCATCAGGGGTTTGTCTAACCGGACCCTCCTCCTCACCCTCTGATAAGTTATCATTATAACCTCTTCCCGCCCCTCTCCTCTCCCATCCTCCCTCCTCGTCCTCCTCATCCCCACCCAACAACCCCACCCACCTTTTTCTCCTCATCCCCCTCCACCGCTCACCACCCCGTTCACTTCCTTCCAACTCCCCTCTCCCCCCCTTCTTCCTGCCCCCAGCAGCACCACGCTCCTCAGAAGGAATTGTCTCCACCATCACCCCCACCTCTGCTCCCCTCGTTGCCCCCCCTCTCTCCTTCCCACCCACTCCTTTCTGCTCCTGCCCCTTCTCCTGCCCCTCCTGCCCCTTCTCTAGCTCCTCCTGCTCGTTTTCCTTCTTCCCACGCTGCTGAAGCTTTTTCTCTTCCTCTTGCTGCTGCTGCTTCTCCTCCTCCTCCTCCTTCCCGTCTTTCCCTTCCCTCCCATCCCTCCGCCCATCCCTCCCATCCTTCCCTTCTCTCCCCTCCCCATCTCCCCTCCCTGCATCCCCACCCCCAACCATCCAGCTCCCACCCGTCTCAACCACTTCTTTCTCCCTCTTCCAACTCCCATCCCCCATCTCCTCCTCCCACCCATCCGGAACCCTTAAAGCCACCACCCCCGCCGCTGCTGTAAACCCCAGAGCCGCCGCTGCTGCCACCACCTTCCCTGCCTTTATCCCAAGCGGCGTGTCCTGCTGCTGAAACCGCTCTATCTGCTGCTGCAACCGCTCTACCTGACCCTGGAACCGCTCTATCTGACCCTGAACCGCAGAAAACCACTGTGCAGCTTGGTTCTCAATCCCGTTTGAACTCCCATCGTCTTCCATTCCAGCCCCTTCCTCCCCCCTCCCACTCCATCCCTCCATACCCGCTCGCACAGTTGCATCCCCCTCTGTCTCCCTTTCCCCTCCTTGTCTTAAGCCCTCTCCACTTCCAGCCCCTTCCTGAGCCCTCTCATTCCCCTCTCTTAACCTCCCAGCCCATTCCTCTGTTCTCTGATTACCCTCAACTCCTATCTCAACCCCTTCCTCCCCCTGCTCATTCCATCCTCCCATGAGCGCCTGGACAGTGGGATCCCCCTGAAGCCTCTCCACTGCTGCTGCCGCCCAGGCATCCAGAGAAAGCCTTCGCCCTGAAAGTTCTCCTGAACTTTCTCCTGAAACTTCCCCTGCGTGTTCTCCTGAACTTTCCCCTGAACCTTCCCCTGCGCGTTCTCCTGAACTTTCCCCTGACATTTCTCCTGTCCTTTCTCCTGAGAATTCGTTCTCCTGCTCCTCAGATTGCCCTTCTGCTTCCTCAATAGTTATAGCTGTAGCAGATTGAGGGACAGCTGCTGCTGGAGCGGCTCCTGCTGGCGCTTCTGCTGCAGGTGGCGCTGCTGCTGCTGCCGCTGCCGCTGCTAATGATGGTGCTTCTGCTGGTGCTGGTACTGACAGTGGTGGTACTGCTGGTGCTAGTACTGCTGGTGCTGGTACTGGTACTGGTGGTGGTGGTGGTGGGAGGGGCAGTGGCTGCCATGCGGGAGGGGGTGGTGGAAGGGATTGTGAGGGTGGTTCGAACGCAGGAGGAGGAGGAGGAGGAGGAGGAGGAGGAGGAGGAGGAGGAGGAGGAGGAGGAGGAGGAGGAGGAGGAGGAGGAGGAGAGGGAGGAGGAGGAGGAGGAGGAGGAGGAGGAGGAGGAGGAAGAGGAGGAGGTGTGTTTGAGACACCAACGGTAGGCTGCCGGAATGAGGAAAGCCCATCTTGAGGAGCTGGTTCCTGTTGCTCCCCTTGGGAATACCCCTCGACACGTGCTGCCCCCTGCTGCCCAGTTTGCTGCCCGCCTTGCTGCCCGTTTTGCTGCTGCCCGCCCTCCACCCCTGTGTGACGTGCAGCGGAGAGCAGCTGTTGGAAGAAACCCACCAGCTCACCGTCTGACATCACACGGAACCTGTCCAAACCACGTGCAACCGGAATAGATTCAAGCAGGGTGTGAGGGGAAGAGGGGGCTTAGTTTGATTAGATTCGACTTGAAGCAGAGAGCAGCTGCTGGAAGAGCCCCACCAGCTCACCGTCTGACATCACACGGGACCTGTCCGAACCACGCCCCATTTAAGAGGGAAGGGGGGGAGGAAAGGCGGGGGAAGAGGGGATGCTTTCTTGAGGCAGAAAGCGGCTGTTGGAAAAAACCAACTAAATGTCTTCCAATAGCCGCTTCCAACAGGTTTTGTCCGACATCAAACAAAACCTGCCGATGTTAGATCCAAAGGGGGGGCCGGGAGGATGCCGGGGGGAGGAGAGGAGGGAAGAAGAGAAGGGAGTTTGTTTCGATTACGTTTGCCTTGAAGCAGTAAGCAGCTGCTGAGTTTCCATAGGACCACATCAGTCATAAAGAAAGAAAAATACCTCTGCGCCAGTTGCTCTGCTAGTAGCTGCTCCAGTGAAGGAAATCCTGGGGTTGCTCCCCCCCCTGGCACAGAAAGAGCTGTATAGGCGACAGGGGGCGACCCTGAGGGAAGCAAGGAAGCAGCATCCCCGCTTCCCTGGTAACTAAGGGAGGGTGAATAATAGGCGACTGAAGGAGCGATACTGGTGGAGGGAGAGGCACTTATTAAGGGAGCACTGCTCCCACTGCTGTTGATTGTTGTGTTGGTTAGAGACGGTATGCAGTCATCCTGGCCGTTGAATGCGTATGTGTATCTCCCGCTGCTGCTATATGCCATGCTGCGTGTGCTCCCCTCCGTGCTTCCGTGATACATGGTGTTGTCAATAGCGGGTGTAGCAGCTGTAGCGGCCGTTGCAGCAGGTGTAGCAGTGGCTGTAGCAGCAGCAGCAAAAGCAGACGGCTGGTGGTCGGAGAATCCAGGGAGTGGACTCAAAACCAGCGAACCGCTCAGCACCGCACTGCACACAGCCTGCAGCACGGACTTGCCAGTCCAGGCAAGCCTGGTGCTCAATTCCTCGCGTGCTGTGTTTCCCACGAGCAATCCACCTTCAGGCATTCTCAGCATCACCCGATCACGTGGCAGTGGATCCTCAACTGCTTCTGCCTCGCGTGCTCTGCTTCCCACGTATGCTCCACCTTCAGACATTCCCAGCACACCCCAATCACGTGGCAGGGAAAGGTCAGCGGCTTCGGCGGGTCTATCTTCCCCGCTTGGTGACCGCCATTCCTCTCCCTGCTGCTCCCCTTCCGCTCTCTGTATCCCCGCCTCAATCTCCCCTGGTCCGCCTTCCGCGGATCCATGCGCGGCGCAACAGCGGCTGGCAGCGCGGGAGGGGTGCGCGGAAGCTGGCGCGGGGAAGGAGAACGACCGGCAGCGGCGGAGAGCGGTGAACTTGTCGGAAGGATGCGCGGAACGTGCCGGTACGCGGGGAAGCAGAGCGGATTTGGGCGGAACAGATGCCGGGGTGCGCGGGAAGGGGGAGGAAGTGGCGGAGGAGGGAGGTGGTGCCAGCGCTGCTGCTGACGTGGAAAGATGGACGGTCATGATGACACAACTGATTTCGCATCCACGCCTATCTTAGCCTTAAACTTCGCTAAGGTGATCGACCTCGATCGACCTCGACCGAACTTTGTCGAACTTGATCGAACTTGAACAAACTACCAGCCTACACTTGAGGCCTCCAACATCAGAAGAAGTTCGGCGTTTCTTTGATCAACCTTCCAGTAAGCTACCTTGTTGATCAAATCTACCGTAATCTTCAAAGGCTGCATCGAGTGGAGAAATGGGAGCACTGCACCCTGCTGGGTGGCTGCGGGGCAGATGAACATTGCTTACGTGACATGCATAGAAGTTGACGCCTAGAAGCAACCATAAGAATACGCGACACCAGTTTCTGCGATATCTAAAACCTCTGTTATGCAGAAAAGCCGAAGGATGATATGATAACTTTTCTTCTGTGATCTATGAGGGCCAGGTTTTATGTTTTGACGAACAGTTTTGGAATCCACTGAGCCTAAGTAAATATATGCATGCAAATCGACCACAAATTCACATTTTTATAGCTTCTAAAACAGGGCGTAGACATTTATGCGAAAAGAACCATGTAGTATGGATAGGGCATTGAAAACACTGGATAAAATGTTTAATAATGTAATAAAAATGTTTTAATTCGGATAATTCTATGCCACATGCGTCATTCAGGAACTAATTTATGAAACTTGTTACCAAGCCATGACATTGAATTCTGGTTGCGGTTTTATCCCTCACACTCAAGAATGATAGCTGCTCAACACAGTTTGAATTCTCTATTGCATCCGCTAATACCGCACGACGCTGGAGTGGTCTACCACCAGTGAATCCAAAAACATCCAATCTCGCGCAAAGTCTCGCAACTTTCGTCACTCTTCGTGAGTGCTTAGCTTTCGCCAGGGCTTTCTTTCATCTCCCCCTCCCGCCTGTGCTCTCCTCTCCTCCTGTTCGGCGAATAACTCGCCTTACCTCCCCTTACTTCCCTCTCTTTAGTCGCAGACCCTAAGGACCTGCGCGCTCGGCGTCACACACGCTGCATCACACCGTCTTAGTCGCAGGGTCTCACATACCCTCTCGCAGGTTAGAATGCGCTTCCAGACCCTGTTGTTCAGCTATGCTGTATTATGTTTAATTGAGTAATCTAGAATCCAGACTCACAGCTCGTCAGCGTGCGGTTCCCGTCTTGCGCTTCGCAGTCTTCTGTCATCCCGTTGTCATCGCGTCTCGTGAGGCGTTTCGTCCCCGTCTCACGTCGTGCCACGTGTCGTGTGTCTATTCGTGCAGCCATGTTTACAGCGCGCAGAAAGATTCAGAAGGAGAAGGGTCAGGAGCCCGATGAGTTCGAAGAAACCGTCGCTCAGGTGCGTCGCGTCGCGTCACTGACCGTTGGATGGCGTCACAATTTGCACGGCCCATTCGGTCGCGTTGCAGACCTGCTATGGTCCCTGATAGGCTCATACTGGTCACAGTCCTGCTGGGATGATTTGTCTAGAACATGCAGTACTGGTAGAGCGCCCCGCAGACAACTGTCCTGGAGATTAATGGACGTTACGGAGGTCAGGTCTCAGAGCGTACAGTACACGATAACGCATAGAGTTTCGTTGGCTTAGTTCTGACGGCCGTCAGTGGAGCAGATCGCATTCAGTGCCGTCGGCCTTAGAGGAGGAGGCCGTGACTATTTAGTTGCACTCATTGGCGGAGCAGGCCGTTTTTACTGCGAATCTTCAATCTCGCCAAAACTTCCTCGCGTGGCGACACCCACCGTCTCTGGAGTGCGTTTGACCGTAGACTCGACTCGGGAGCTGAGCTAGGGACCAGTCGAGTGATCGTTAGGGCTCAAACGCGTAAGGACCAGTCGCAATCTAAGGAGTTGTTGGGTATCTCGTGATCGCGCAATCGGGCACGGTTACCCGATTAGTGTGCTGAAGCAGTTGAGACGTTGGTGAGATGGCCGAAAGGAATGGCTGGCTAACGAATAATGGTTGGGTGGATTGAAATACAGTGCTAAGCCTTTTGGAGCAGGGTTAGGGTTTCGAGGGCTCAAAATTACAACTGAGTTTCTCTGTTGATTAAATATTTTCGGGATGTCGGTCGAGCCTGCTTTCTGACGGCGCCTAGGAAACGATGGTCAACCTCGGTTTGAATTAGCGCGTTAGTTTCCAAGAGCTGGGGCTTGCTCTGATATGCTTAGTACACACGTGAAACCCTAGGTTGTAGTTACCGGGGACAGACCGTCCTCGTGTGTTGGCGTGGTTTTTAGAGTTTCCAATAAAGCAGTCTGGTTGAGTTCAACGTGCGCTAATCGGGTTCTCGTATGATTCGACTGCAGGCCCTCTTCGATTTGGAGGCGACCAATCAGGAGCTGAAGAGCGACCTGCGCGATCTCTTCATCAACAGCGCCAAGTACGCTTAATTTGCTGTTTCCGTTCAATTTCTTCCTTGCACCGCTTTTCCTGGTCACTTTCTTCACGTTCTCGTTCAGTCTAGGGGCCTATTTCACTCTACCCCCCGCTCCCCAACCCCTTCCCCCGCTCCACTCCGCGCCCCGCGCCCCGCCCATTCTCCCAAACCGTTTACGAATGAACAATGAACGACTGCTCCTTTATCCCGTTTTCCGCCTGCAAGGCGTGATCATGCACGTCCCCTGCGGAAGGCTTACCCGCCTCGAAATCCCATCCCTGGCTCCCCATTCCCCATCCCTGGCTCCCCATTCCCCATCCCTGGCTCCCCATTCCCCATCCCTGGCTCCCCATTCCCCATCCCTGGCTCCCCATTCCCCATCCGTACAATCATCAGGGAGATCGTGTCGAGCAGCCGCAAGGCGGTGATCGTACACGTGCCGCACCGCCTGCGCACGACTGATTCATTGCCTGCCCCCATTCTAACCCCCATCCCCGTTCCCCCTTGTGTCCTCCGCAGGGAGATCGACGTGTCGAGCAGCCGCAAGGCCGTGATCGTGCACGTGCCGTACCGCCTGCGCAAGGCGTTCCAGAAGATCCATGCGCGCCTCGTGCGGGAGCTCGAGAAGAAGTTCAGCGGCAAGGTGCGGTTGAGAAGGGCGAGATGTGGTGGGGTGCGGTGGAGTTGGGCGAGGTGTGGTCGAGAGCGTCAAGGTTCGGTGGGAGGGCAGCGAGTTGCGGTTGAGGGGGGCGGGGTGCGGCCGAAAGGAGTTACGGGAGAAGATTGTTAGCGAGTGAAAGAGGGCGAGGTGGGGTGAGCGAAAGGGTGAAGTGGGGGGAGGCGGGAGGGTCGTGGAGTGGAGTGTACGCAAGGGGAACATGGGTGGGAAGGTTGAGGTGGCTGGTGGGGAAAGTAATGGAATTGAGCGGTTATTGTGGGTATGGATCATTTTCAGGGTTCCCTCGTCTTTAAACTTTTCCTTTTCCTAACGGACTAGGCCCTGCATTTTCCCGAGGAAGAATCGGCGGGAGAGGCAGGGGAGAGCGGGAGGGATGGGAGGAAATGGGAGAGTCGAGTAGGTTGAATGTGCAGGAAGAGGCTTGGTTGGGAGCAGGAGGCGGCTTGGTGAGAGCAGGAGGAGGCTTGGTGGGAGCAGGGGAGGATTGGGTGTGAAGAGAGGATTCGATGTGTGGCGAAGGATTGGAAGCGCATATTTGGGAAGTGAATGGGAGATGAGCGGACGTTTTGCAGCCTGCCCAGGCCGCGCAAGGGCTGCAAGACGGTGGGGCCGCGCACGCGCACCGCACGCTGACGACGGTGCTCTCATGCTTGTGACCCCTTTGCGCCCCTCTTTCCATTGCTCTCCCTTACCCGCCCACAGGATGTAGTGCTGGTCGCTACTCGGCGCATTCTCCCCAAGCCCCGCAAGGGCTCCAAGGTGGTGCGGCCGCGCACGCGCACGCTGACGGCGGTGCACTGCTCTCATACATTTCACTCGCTGCTCTCCCTGTCATTACATGCCCCACAGGATGTAGTGCTTGTCGCCACCCGTCGCATCCTCCCCAAGCCCCGCAAGGGCTCCAAGGTGGTGCGGCCGCGTACGCGCACGCTGACGGCGGTGCACGAGGCGATCCTCGAGGACCTCGTCTTCCCCACGGAGATCGTTGGCAAGCGCGTTCGCTTCCGGTTGGACGGCTCGCGCATCATGAAGGTATGATGGGGTGGGGTGATGCATGCAGCGTCGCTAGGCACTCTGCCTGACAGCACAGCACCGCACCGCACAGCACTGCACTGCACATCACATCAGCAGTGGGCACAACACAGCAGCCCGCTGTCGGCGGTGCACGAGGCAATTCTTGAGGACCTCGTCTTCCCTACGGAGATTGTCTTCCCTACGGAGATTGTCTTCCCTACGGAGATTGTCTTCCCCACGGAGATTGTCTTCCCCACGGAGATTGTCTTCCCCACGGAGATTGTCTTCCCCACTGAGATTGTCTTCCCCACGGAGATTGTCGGCAAGTGCGTTCGCTTCCGGTTGGACGGCTCGCGCTTCCGGTGCGTACATATGTGTCACAGTGTGTGCGCCTTTAATTCCACAGCTCCCCCATCATGCAGGTACGATTCGTTGCATGTGTTTCGTATGGATGCATGTTATGAGGGGTAGTTAAAGGGAAGTATTCTGGTGTCGCAGCCGCAAGTTGTCGCCATACCGTCACAGGAGTTGTCGTGCCAACTGACGAGATGGTTCTAGTGCAGTTAATGCACAGTGCGTGCATTTTGATTTTTGAGTCGACTCAAAAATCGATTAATGCACAGTGCCTGCATTTTGTCCTTTTTACCAGCCACCTAAGGCATGCGTGGAGCCTCCTCGCAAGCTCTGAGTGCGGACTGCAGTGGTGGCACCGTGTGTGATAGGGTTGACACATACGTATGTTCTCTATGTGCGGTTTGACACTACTCCCTCATTTTGGCCATCTGCATCATCACCTGACCACCAGGTGTACCTGGACCCCAAGGAGCGCAACAGCACCGAGTACAAGGTGGAGACGTTTTCTGCTGCCTACAAGAAGCTGACCGGCAAGGATGTCGTCTTTGAATTCCCCATCACCGAGGCTGCTGCCTAAGTGCCCGTGGCTGCTGCCTTAGTGACACGAAAACGCCAGCTCGCTCTTCACTCCCAGCGGTGGCTAGCAGCAGGAAGCAGCGCATTTCTAGGGGAAAATTGTGTTACAAGCTGCTGCTGTCTCTTGGAAGTATGTAATGTTCAATCTTTTGAAAGCTCTGATGATTTTTGCAGCACCTTGAAAGTGAAATGTACATTTATGTTGAGCGCTATATGCTAAATGCTTTAGGCGGATCATGGGTTGTCCTCCCAGGTGCTGCAGAGTATTCATGGGTTTGGTTGGGTTCTGCACGTTTCCCTCCTCCCTAAACTGTGCAGCACTCATCGAAATCCATTTTTCGGTGACGGCGATTTCGTCTTTCGAAGCTCCGCAGGTTCGTTGTAGGGCGGACCGCACTCGATACAAAGTTGTTACTGAACGACCTGAAAACAAGACCCACGTGCAAAAAGAGATTGCGTAAAGAAACAAGACCCAGTTCGCTGCTTCTCCACACAAGCAACCATGTCCTCCAGAACATCAGCACAGCCAGCCTTGAACCATGGTGGCTCGGATCGACTTGACGAGCGGCTCCTTGATTCCCGCGTTCTTCCGCAATGCCTCGACGCGGTGGAGTTCTGCCCGTCTCGCAATTTCCCGGGCACCTTCGTCGTGGCATCGTATCAACTAGTAGAGCCGCAGTCGTCTGGCGATGTTAACGTGGCTACCACTGTCACCGCCGAAGGGTCTTCTGAATCCGACGGCGAGGCGCCAATCGGAAAACGTCAGTCGCGTCTTGGCGGAGTGCATCTATTCAACCTTGACGCCGTCGATGCTGACGTGTCGGACGATAATGGACGGCTTTCTGACGGAAAAGAACCGCCGTTTCCAGCCGCAGCACGCATGGTCCACTTGCAGTCAGTCAGCGGTTGCGGCATTCTAGACATCAAGTGGCGAAGCAAGTGTTTTCGCACCCGGCGAGCAGAAGCAGACGAGGGGGAGGAAGAAATAGCAGATCTGAGGAAACGAAGAGAGAATGTTGCTGAGCGAGGGAATTCGTCAGAGCCAATGTTGCTGGCAGCAGCAACTGCTGACGGGACAGTGGATCTGTATGAGTCGCAAGGAGGACCGATCGCCGCTACACCACCGAATCTGTCTCTGCTCACCCGCATTCCCTTTCCTCCCTCCGATCCTGCCGAGCCTGATGCCAAACCTCCCATGTGCCTTGCCTTGGATTGGTGGACGGCTGGGGAATCAGAGGGAGGGAGCGGGAGCCAGGAGGAGCAGGCGGTGGAGACAGAGGAGAGGGGGAGCGGGGAGACTGACAGGGAGGGAGGGGAAGAGAGAAGGAAAGAATGGCGTGTGAGGAGGGATCGGATCGCTGTGAGTCGGTCGGATGGATCGCTGGCGGTGGCACGGCAGGGAGAGGGTGGTGCTTGGGTGGCTGAGCACGCGTGGTCAGCACACGAGTTTGAAGCATGGACATGCTGCTTCAACATCTGGAACCCTGAGGTGAATGTGTATGCAACATGACAGTTGGCTTGCAAAGCCCACAATGATAATGATAATAAGCAAATAAAAAGTCATTCTCTTTGTAACCCGATCCTCCTGTATTCTCCTTTGACTCATTCTCCATGATTTCTTTTTCCCTTTTCCCATCAGGTGCTTTATTCAGGTGGCGATGATTGTGCGATGTGTGCTTGGGACCTCCGCACGCACATCCCCTCATCCCCCTCCTCATCCCCGCTCTCTCCGTCCTCCTCACGGCCTGCATGGCGCAACATCAAGGCACACCGAGCCGGGGTTACCTCTCTCCGCTGCTCTCCCCACTCTCCCCATCTCCTCGCGTCCGGGAGTTATGACGAGGCGGTGAGATTCTGGGATGTCCGCATGCCGCTAATGCCCATTGCTATTTGTCAAGTTGCAACAGGCGGAGGGGTGTGGAGGATCAAATGGCATCCGGAGGAAGCTCACCTTGTTCTGGCTGCCTGTATGCACGGAGGAGCTACGATACTCTCCCTATATCGAGATCATTCCAGTGCTGTGGGTACTCCCATTTCATTTGGGAAGGATACAAAGAGTTTATTACTCCAGGATGAGGTTGGGAGGGAGTCATTCCAGGGGCTATGCGGGGAAATGGTGGAACGATATGAGCAGCACAAGTCCATGGTCTATGGCATCGACTGGGGTTTATGCGATATGTCACGAGGAGCTGCAAGTGCAGAAGCTGATAGTGGATGGGTTGTTGGCTCGTGCTCCTTTTATGACAAGTTGCTGCAGGTTTGGAGGCCTTGTGCTCTGTAGTTATTTTGTGATCTTTGTTGTGGCAGCGCTACTCGAGTTGTTACTAATTTGGTAAGGGAATCAAGACTTAGTCAAAGGGGAAAAGGTTAGGAGGTGGGACGAGGGGGGTGGGGGGGAGAGAAGGGGAGGCGGGTTCACATCAAGGCAGGGTCACAGACTGCACATTCTCCTAGTAGTACTGTACCTCTCCACTCCACTTGGGAAATTACCGTATATTATTTTTGTCCATTCGTAATAAACTCTACACTTAAACCTGGCAAAAGGATGTGTCGCTTGAGCGAACCCCCAGCAGTCGTCAGCCGATCCCGTTCCGTCAGTTTTTGGCGCGCTAATGACAGTCCGCTTGATAATGGCGGTTCCGTCGAGCTTGTTGTCCATCCGTCTGCTGGTCAGTGTGAACCGAGCCGAACCGATTTCTGTTCCATTTGATGCCATCCAACCTCCGTCCACATATCTCTGTGGCTTATAATTTCATCAATGAAACTATGGTGTGACGATTAGCGCCGTGATTGGTCTAGTGTCGAACTACGCTGCGCTCGTTTAACTGCCTTAAATACCTGATTTGAGAAGCCCGAAGCTTTTCCTTCAGGTCAACTGCTGCTTCAGGGATACCACTATCCGTTGCGACAACACGATGTGGGGAAGGTAGCACTAGATGTCATAAACGTAAAGTAAGTTTGGCATCATCTCAGTGTACTTGGAACTGATTGTTGGAACTTATTCACCTCCTTTCAGGTTTGGAGGTGGAAAATCAGTGCCTGGGAGAATAAAGCTCACCAGGGGTGAGCCTCAGCAAGCCATAAGTCCGACGAGTGCTGTGCGAGCACGTGAGGGTCCTGAAATTGATGCCGCCGAAGTTCTTAGACCTTCTAACGAAGAGAGACAGGTACGGTAGTATAATGATCGTTGTAGCTCTTAGCGTTTCACGTTATGGCGGAATTCTTATTCTGATCTAACTGTTCTTGACCAGCTAGCTTCAAAATCTAGGATACAAGAGGCTTCTCCACCCGTTGCGGAAACGGCTCCAACTGTAGTAGAGCCAATGCCGGAGTCAAGATCCCTGGATACTGCTAGGGTTGCCAAATTCCGAAAGGAACTTTCCGCTCCTGCAGTCGACCTAGGTATATTTTGACTCAGGCTAATCACATTCATGCTTTCGTTGAAACTCGGTCCTAATCAAGCTCGTGACGTTTTACATTCAGATGCTCTTCGGGAACTTTCTTGGAGTGGCGTACCTCCCAATTTAAGACCAACTGTCTGGCGTCTTTTACTGGTGAGAAATAGAATGTTTGCCTGTTGTCAATAGTGATAACGGAATGTGTGGTTCTATTTAATAATTCCGACTTGCATGCATACAGGGATACGCACCGCCAAACGCAGATAGAAGAGAGACAGTTCTGGCCAGGAAACGCCAAGAGTACAGGGAGTGGGTTCCCCAGTATTATGACATTCCAAATGAAGACCGCAGTGATGATGAAATCCATACACTTCGCCAGGTAGGCGACTTTCGGGTTTTGAGTCCATAATTAACCGTACAATTCCGTCCTTTGACAACAGGTCGTCCTCTGTACAGATTTCTGTAGACTGCCCGAGAACTGTTCCAGATGTCCCCTTCTTCCAGCAAACCTTGATGCAGACAGCAATTGAGCGTGTACTCTATATTTGGTAAGTTACTGCATTTTTTGTTGTCACGTCGTTGTAAAACAGTCCTTCATTTGATTGAAATGTTTGTTTTGCAGGGCTATACGCCACCCGGCCAGTGGATATGTTCAAGGAATTAATGACCTGCTGACTCCATTCCTCACAGTGTTTCTTTCGGAGATATTTGAAGGAGACATGGATACCTGGGTAGTTTCAAAGCTTTCTGAAGATACCCTTTTGCAAGTTGAGGCAGATAGTTACTGGTGCCTGTCAAAGTTGCTTGACGGCATCCAAGACCACTATACTTTTGCTCAGCCAGGCATCCAGCGCCTTGTTTTCCGCCTTAAGGAGCTTGTGAGAAGGATTGATGGTGAGGGCACCTGCTGCTGTGGCTTGATCAGAAGCCTGTATATGAACCTCTGATTGACTTTGTTGAATGCAATTTGCAGAGCCTGTTTCTCGGCACATGGAAGAGAACCACTTGGAATTTCTTCAGTTCGCGTTCCGGTGGTTCAATTGCCTGCTAATCCGTGAGGTATGCCCATTTCCCTTCCCACCATGGGTAATGTATTGGACTTATATCGGTTTTGTTTGGTTCATCGACTATGTAAGGCACCATCCTCGTCTCTTTCCCTCCCCCCCCCCCCCCCCCCCCCCCCCCCCCCCCCTTCTCTCCTGTTTGCAGATTCCATTTTCTATTGTGGGAAGATTGTGGGACACATATCTTTCAGAGGGTGATGGTTTTGCAGAGTTCCTGGTTTACCTATGTGCAAGTTTCCTGCTCACCGTAAGTTTGCAGAGCATTGTGCTTTGCTTTCTCTCATGTTGATTTGTTGGTGTGTTACGATTGCTGAAGTAGTCTGGCTGTTTGATTGCAGTGGTCCGAACAACTTCAACAGATGGACTTCCAGGAAATGGTTTTGTTCTTGCAACATGTGCCAACAAAGAGATGGACTGAAAAGGAGCTTGACATGGTGCTGTCACGCGCCTTCATGTGGAGAGTCATGTTCAACCGTTCACCTAGGCACTTGAACTCGTCATAATGTAGTATATTACTGTTGGAGCTAGCGTTTATGCTTTGGCTGCTGCTGTAGATTTTCCTAGTTCTTGCATGCACTTCATTCCCTTGTATGATATTTCTAGGCTTAGAAACTGATTACTGTATTGCAACTGCAAAAACCAGCATTTCTGGAATAGTGCAAGGAAAATCGCCTTTTCCTTACTTCGCATCTCTGCTCAACGCGTACATCACTGTAGCACCACAGTCAGCACCGTTACCACTCGCCCCCCTCGCATCGACAACCCGCCCGCCATTTTCGCACGTCGCACCTCGACCTCACGGCTCGGCAGGTAACCCGCGCTCCGGACCTCCGCCCTCGACACTTTTCCCAACCTCAGTCCCGGGCCTGTCGCGACAACCACAGTCCATTACCGTTACCACTGCAGTTTCGCTATATAATCCTTCGCTCATGCCTTCGCGGATTGGACTCTTGCTTCGATAGTGCAATTCTCGTTCGTTCACTCAATTGCACTCGTAACACTTGGTATTCAGAGCCTACGATCTCTTCTCGGACCGCACCCACACCTTCGCTTCCCCACTATCTCAATTTTTGGGGGGGGTAGACGTCTCTCAGCGACACAGCACCGCCGCTCGTAGTGCTCTCTCGTAAGCACGCACGGCCACGACAGAGGCTCTCGCTGAGCTCGCCCGACACCCCCGCCATGGCCGAATTCACGCTTGCCACACTGACGCAGGAGCAGCTCGACCGTCTGGTGCGCCAACTCGAAGATTCGGCGTTGGAAATTGCGACGCTCACAGCGAAACGTGACTCCGCGCGTCAGCAATCCACGGTGAACACCCCAGTAGCACCAACAAATGCACCTGCGCAATCAGACGAGCCGATCGTCATTTCGTCCGGTACACCAACAGCACACGGCAGCATGGGACAGCGCTCAGGCGCAGCCAGTGACAGCGCCGCCCAACCGATGCCTGGCATGGGAGGAAACGGGAGCGTGCCAAGCCCACGGGAGCCTCGCGGAAACTGTCAAACATATATGCTGCATATTGTCTAGGCTCCTTCTTCGCGACTGTACCACACTCACGCCGCTTAGTCGGCCGGTTCCAGTCTCCCTGGCGGACCCCTCTGGGGGTCCAGTCCTTGCCCACTACTCCACGGTTCTGCCGTGTCCGGCCGCCCCGTCTGGCTTGCTGTCAGGTCTTTACCTCCCCTCGTTCTCTACGAACTTGGTGAGTGGAGCTGACCTCCAGGATCAGGGGGTGCACCAGTTCACTCCTGCGAGTCAGCGAGTGACTCACTGTACGTGTGCTCGGACCGGCCGACACCTGGCCACGTTTTCCCGTGCGCCTGGCTCGAGTCTGTACACCCTGACCACTGCGTCTCCTCAGGTAGCTGCGTCTGCGTCTGCGTCCGGTCAGCCGACGGCCCCCTGCGAGTGTCGCGCTTTGTCGCACCAGACCCTCCTGTGGCACCACCGCCTTGGTCACCCCTCGGTGCAGCGCCTTCGTGGCATGCACTCTCGCTTCCTGGTTTCTGGTCTGCCCAGGTCTTTGCCTGCCCTGCCTCCCTCGCTTGCGCCGCCCTGCATTCCTTGCGTCGAGGGGCGGCAGCGCGCCGCTCCTCACTCCTCCTCGTTCCCTCCCACAGAGGCTCCCCTGCAGACTCTCCACCTGGACGTGTGGGGCCCAGCCCGCGTCCGTGGACAGGGCCACGAGCGGTACTTCCTGCTGGTTGTTGACGACTACACGCGTTACACCACGGTCTTTCCCCTGCGCAGCAAGGGGGAGGTCCCTGCTGTTTTGATCCCTTGGATCCGCGCTGCCCGTCTCCAGCTCCGCGAGCGGTTCGGGACGGAGTTTCCCGTCCTGCATCTGCACTCTGACAGAGGTGGTGAGTTCTCCTCCGACCTCTTGGCAGCCTTCTGTGCGGAGCACGGCATCACCCAGTCGTTCACGCTTCCGGACTCTCCACAGCAGAATGGGGTTGCTGAGCGCCGCATTGGCTTAGTCATGGAGGTCGCTCGTACCTCCATGATCCATGCGGCTGCCCCCCATTTTCTGTGGCCGTTTGCGGTCCGGTACGCCGCGCATCAGCTCAACCTCTGGCCCCGTGTCTCCTTGCCGGAGACCTCGCCCACACTGCTGTGGACGGGGAAGGTTGGCGATGCGTCGCGTTTCCGGGTCTGGGGTGCTCGTGCCTTTGTCCGCGATACCACCGCGGACAAGCTCTCCGCCCGTGCAGTTCCCTGTGTCTTCCTTGGCTTTGTCCCTGACGCGCCTGGTTGGCAGTTTTACCACCCCACCTCGCGCCGTGTCTTTGCGTCTCAGGACGTCACGTTCGATGAGTCGGTTCCCTTTTACCGTCTCTTCCCCTACCGCATGGCCCCTCTCCCTCCCCCGCCGCTCTTCCTCGCTCCAGGTGCTCCCCAGGTAGACCCCCTCCCCGCTCCCGGTCCTGCTCCTTCAGGTGTGTCTCAGGTAGACCCTCCTCCCTTCCCTGCGCCGGTCGAGGTCACTGGTGACTCAGGTCCTCCTGCGAGTGGTCCTGCTCGGGGTGCTACTTCTGGGGGTGCTGAGCCTGGGGGTGCGGAGCTTGAGAGTGTGGAGCCTGGAGGTGCTGAGCCTGCGTGTGAGGGGTCTGGAGGTGCTGGAGCTGGTGGTTCTGGGGCTGCTGAGGGTGCGGGCGCTGGAGGTTCTGGAGCTGCTGGAGGTCCTGGTGCTGGTGGCGCTGGAGCTGCTGAGGGTGCTGGCGCTGAGGGTTCAGAGTCTGCTGTTGCGCGGTCTCCTTGGAGTAGCCGCCTTCGTCCCCGTGTGCCTCTCACCTCGCAGCAGCTGCACGACTGGTACGGTCGCCGTCAGGGTCGCGCTGCTGGAGCCCGGGGCTCTGCTGCTGGAGGTACTTCTGCTGACGTCCCTGGAGCTGGGAGTGGTGCTGGTACTTTGTCTACTGGAGGTGCTGGAGTCGCTGGTCCTGGAGGTGCTCGTACTGGAGGTACTGGAGGTACTGGAGCTGCTGGGGCTGGGGGTGCTGCGTCTGGAGGTGCTGCTGCTGGAGACACCGAGGCTGGAGACCCTGGGACTGGAGGTGCTGGTTCTGGGGGTGCTGCTGCTGGAGACATTGAGGCTGGAGACCCTGGGACTGGAGGTGCTGGTTCTGGGGGTGCTGCTGCTGGCGGCACTGCGGTTGGAGACCCTGGGACTGGAGGTGCTGGTTCTGGGGGTGCTGCTGCTGGCGGCACTGCGGTTGGAGACCCTGTGCCTGGAGGTGTCCGTTCTGGGGCTGGAGCTTCTGGAGCTGCTGGAGGTGCTGGAGCTGCTGGTGCTGGAGGTGCTGGAGCTGCCGGTACTGGTGCAGCTGCGCCGACACGACTGTTCTTCGCTCCGCCGTCTCCGTCGTCTCTGCCGCCGCCTGACTCTGTTCTTCGTCAGGTTCTTACTCTCCCGTCGTCTACTGGTCTTCCGTTACAGCCTGGCTCACCGCTGCCTGCTCCTTCTCCTTACACTGAGCAGACAGGTAGTCTTGCTGAGCGTCATGAGCCTGCGTCGCGTCCTGTCTCGCCTGTTCGTCCTAGTCGTACCGGTCGTCGTGTTCCTCGTCCGCGTCAGCCGGCTGTCCCCGGCACACGCCTTGTAGCCCTGCGTCGGTCCCCTACTCCGGAGCGTACTCCTCTTCCGTCTCCCCCTGCGTCCTCTTTGCCTGACGTCGCGGACCCTGAGTCTGACCGGTTTCGTGCTGAGCACCCTACTGTCACGCGTCTGCTAGCCACTGTTGTCACTGACCCGTCGTTTGAGTCAGCTGCTGCGTCTGCCCTGGTCGCTGAGCTTGTTGACTTTGCTGCTGCCTGTCGTCTAGACTACGCTGCTAGTCTTGTTGCTGAGTCTGAGTCTGTCTGTCCTCCGTCCGTCGGGGGTGAGTGTGCCCTTGGCACGGACGTCCTTGAGGACAGGCACGAGGACCTTGAGTCTCTTGCAGCCGCTGCGCCTCATCTCGTGGCCATGCTGCTTGCCCCTGAGGGAGACCCGGATGCTATAGACATCCCCACACCGCGCTCTTACGCTGAGGCGATCGCGGGTCCCTACTCCTCTCAGTGGCAGGCAGCCATGGACGCAGAGATGGCATCCTGGAAGTCTACAGGCACTTACGTCGATGAGGTTCCCCCTCCCGGGGCGAACATCGTCGATGGCATGTGGATTTTCAGGGTGAAGCGGCCGCCAGGTTCTCCGCCTGTCTTCAAGGCGCGTTACGTTGCTCGAGGCTTCAGTCAGCGAGAGGGAGTTGACTTCTTCCAGACCTTCTCCCCTACCCCGAAGATGACTACTCTTCGAGTGCTGCTGCACGTTGCCGCTCAGCGTGACTACGAGCTTCACTCTCTTGACTTAAGCACAGCTTTCCTACAGGGCAGCCTGCACGAGGAGATCTGGCTGCGCCGCCCACCTGGCTTCACTGGGACGTTCCCTCCTGGTACCCAGTGGAGCCTCCGCCGGCCAGTCTACGGTCTCCGCCAGGCACCCCGTGAGTGGCACGACACACTGAGGACTACCCTTGCGGCTCTTGGGTTTGCGCCTTCGACTGCTGACCCTTCACTGTTTCTACGCACCGACACTTCGCTGCCGCCGTTCTATATCCTCGTGTACGTCGACGACTTGATCTTTGCTACTGCTGACACTGAGGCCCTCGCCCTGGTGAAGTCCGAGCTGCAGAAGAGACACACGTGCACAGACCTGGGTGAGCTGCGCAGCTACCTTGGCTTGCAGATCACCCGGGACCGAGCACGCCGCACCATCACACTGACTTAGTCACACATGGTGCAGCAGGTCCTTCAGCGCTTCGGCTTCACCTGGTCCTCAGCACAGGCCACTCCTCTGGCTATAGGTCACTCGCTCTCAGCTCTGCCTTCGGATGAGTCCGTAGAGCCGAGTGGTCCTTACCCAGAGCTAGTGGGCTGCCTCATGTACCTGATGACTTGCACTCGTCCTGACCTTGCGTACCCTCTTGGCCTTCTGGCTCGCTACGTGGCTCCTGGT